TACCTGCGTGCATTCCATTTTCACTCGATAAGACGCGCGAAACACGAGTGAAAAAAAAAAAAAAAAAAAAAAAAAAAAAAGAAAAAAATTAAAATGTAAAGAAAAAGGAAGAATGTAGTTTTAATGACCAGATTTTGAAAAGGCATGCAGAACAATTATCTATTTGAATAATTATATAACAGATTTAAATGTTCTGCTGTACGGATCGAAACATGGTGCCTTGGGAACGGATAGACTAATTATATAGTAAGATATACGAATCTAAAAGCATGACAATAGATTCAGCTATTACACGGCGGGCATTAAGTTTAAGATTATCTACACATGGATTTGCTAAGCATACGGATTGCCTGGTGGCGTATTAATTATCGACATATATGTATGTATATTCTGGAATAACTTTCTCATTTGCACTTTTTGAAAGATTCGAACACTTTTCTTGTATTTCTCGACATTACAGAAAGAAATATGATAAACAAGTTTCTGTTGAATTACTTTATGACTAAAAAGGAATATTTTAGTATAAAATACATAATCAAAAGTGGAAAGAGAATCTATTAGATCTAAAAATCACGCATACCTGACCTCTTTTATGTGTTTATGATCGTTAGAAAAATATTATTGAAAAAACGTAAAAAAAACGAAGAAGTAATATTTCTAAAATTATGAAGAGGATATAAAAGGATCAATGTTTAACTCCAAAATGAGAAAACAACGTACTACTTTCCTACAAAATAATCAAATTTATCATATTTCTTTCTTATAGTCTTCATTTATAATTTTGCCCACTTTATCAAAGAAGTCTGATTAAATCGATTAAATCGATGTGTTCTATTTGGTCCACTTTTTCTATAATACGTTCCAAACGCGTCTAGGATCGACCGTTCCTAATTCACCAATCTATTCACATTTAAAAATATTCAGTACACATTTAACGTTAAATGAACATCGATTAATGTATCGAAATATTCCTTTCCACGTGATTTAAGTAACTAACAGCGTAAATATGTTATTTTGACAGTCCTCCGCTCAGCAGATCCAACAATGATCGACAACCGTAGCATATAATATAATTGATGTTACATAAGAAAGTATATAAATTGATATCTTAAAGATTACTATCGTCAAAGTGATGTAGATGTTACATAGATGAAGAATATTCTAGCAAACACCATAATATATCACATTTAAGGTGAACGTTCCACGTTCTTACGAAGAATAATCGCTTCAGAATTAACGCGAATAATTTGCATCCTTTGCAAATTACTTGACAGAAATGTTTCAAATAAGCCATGTTATTTAATTACAAGAAAGTAGCAGGACTCGTCCTTAGAATATTGTGATGCAGCAAACTTTTACATCGATATACTTTATTTGAAACATTTCTTTCGTACTTATAAAGATTTTTTTCGAGAAAGATTCACCTTTGAAGTAGAGAATATATATAATATAAAAGAAAGAGAATGCTCGATTGAAACATAGAAATTTTCTGAGAGATGAAATTCAAATATCGTATAATTGCAAGCGCAATTATCGAAGCATGCTGTAGAACAGATTAATCGCTGATGATCAATTACGTACAAAACCCAACCATGAGAAAAGGTGTTACGAGAATGTATGTACAATTAAAATCTAGTTAGCCGCGCAACAATGCACTCGTATGTGGTTATCGAATACGTGTAACCATGCATAAAAAATGGTACCAAAGATTATTGTCAGTGTTCTGTATTATATGTCTTCTAATATAAAATATTTGTCATCAAAAAAATGGTTATTTCTTCAATGGCAATTAACGTCCCACTACATACTAATTAACGTTTTTAAAATGAACCATATCTTTATTGTTTGAACGATATCTTTGACAACAATAGCTCGGAAATACGCGGTTTTTAAGTACTTCGAGTTTTCACGTCGATGCTTGATTGAAGGCGTCGTTAATAGTGCGCGACAGAGATTTACGAGCAAACACGGAAGTATCAATCCATATAAAAGGGTAAACTTTATCCTTGAAAACTTCAGAAGGAGTTCTAAAGTCCAAGTAAAACGTGCAACATGTTCGTCAAGCTAATTCTGATCGCCTTGATATTCAGCTTTGTCTGTGTACAAAGCATCGAGAACAAAGCTCAGCAATTATCGTTGCTCGCTGAATCTAATCCTGATACCAACCTGGACGCTGATGCGACCGTAATTATCTTATTTGTTTTTCACATCTAATTTCACTTATAAAAGAAACTTAAATCCGTAAAGACTTCTTTCAAATTTCCATTTTAACGATGAAGATTAATGTAACAATATAAATTGCAGGAAGAACGACGCGCTCTTCAAGTATCTACAACAAGTCCGGTTATAATAACAGGCAGTCCAGATAATGAATCGGAATACATTCGAATACATGCGAAAGTGTCAAATCCCAAGAAAAGAACGACAGATTATAAGGAAGATCGTGAAACCGATTTACGACCTGGATGTTGCGGATAAATCATCAAAATGAACCACCATTCAACTACAAATTCTGTCTTTAAAAAGTATTTACGTCGAAATGGTAAATAACAATATCTACATATTATGAATACCATTTTATCTCTTTAGTTTCTTTTCACGATGAGATAGCAAACGAAATAAAAAAATGGCTATCAAGCCGCACAAAGATAACTCTTTTCCTATTATACCTATTTATACATTAATTATATTAAAATCTACGCGATATTACATACAAGCCTAAGTTTATATTCAAATATAAGAAAGGTAAAAATAAAGTACTTCGTATGGAAAACTTTTATTAACATCATGTACTTGTACATGACTCACAAGCACTGCTTATAAACAATTGCGACTTTTAACATTGAATTATCCTAACCCATAGTATAGATATATAATAAACCAGTGCAATAAATCCGTTGCATTTATTACATTGTAATTAAAATCACTAACCTTCATGGAAGGATAAAGAAAATAGAAAGAGACCCAATTTTATTTTCTTCTCTTTTTGGCATATCGATAGATAAAGACGATATGCTACAACCAAAATCACTAATGTGTCCTTTAAATAATTGTATCACGAATGCAGTACGTGTTCAAAGTCATCGTTGTGCTACATACGAAAAAATATCGTAAAAATTGTTCATACCAAATAAAATATCAAATTTCCAAGGAATGCGTTCATTATTTGTGACGTTACGGGAAAAAGTCGAACGAATAAAAAAATAAGAAGAAAAAAGAATCTTGAAATGAAAAAAGAATTCAGTTCATATTCCGTAATCAAATTGGAACACTTGATGGACGTGCGGGGAATCGCCCGAGCACACAGCCGATACGCATATTTAATTTGTACAAATTCTTAATAATTACAGGTACTGTACCAACAAGTTGCAACATGAATTCAATACTGTTATCTGTTCTGCTTTGAAAGAATAACTTTCCAGGCAGACATCGGTCTTGTTTGTAACAGATCTATTTTCCGTCGACCCCACCTGAGCCAAGCAAATCCTATGATTAGGCATAAGACACTCTCTATGTAGTATCCGTCAAATTGCATATTGCAAACACCATTGTGCGTGTTCGTGCAGAGCTGAAAACGAAGAAATTTTATTTTACAAGTTTTTAACCACTTTTTAATCCTTAAATGAGTTAAACAATCACTTATGATAAATAAAAACAGTGAGATAAAACACCAACCTCCCTTTCCGAAATTGTGCTACAGTCATTTGAGGGATCGGTGCTGCATTGTCGATATGTTAATGGATCAACGAACCAAAGAGCTGCTGTTGCTGGCCAGTTACCTCCAAGATTAGCTAACGTATTTAATAATGTCATGTAAGTACCACCAACTGCTGGATCACTGATTTTTGCAAAATACGCCATCGATGCCACAAACATACTACTTGTGAAAACCTGTGACAAGTGATATAAATATTTTTATTCTTCCTCATTGTCGTTCCTTTTACCGTTCATTTCCTCTGAATACTTTACCTGATGTATCAAATACAGAATAATTAAAACTATGAAGTAATAGGCTGGAACATGTCCTCCTGTTACGACATATGGTGTTACCCATACCAAAAATGCTGCTACTAATCCAAAAGCCAGTCTAAAAAACCGATTATAAATATTTACTATAAGCCCATTTGATATATTTTATTTTATACGTTTGTTTTCCAATCACCTATAAGGCATAGCCTTTATGTATACATCCATAGGCCTTGGACCTACTGTATACTTTGATATTGCTAATGGTAACAATATCTGTAGTGGTATCATAGGCACAGCCATAAGGGCAAAAGTTTCTTTTGGTATACCAGCCTCTACCAGCTTTAAACCAGTTACAGCATCACAAGCAGAAAATCCTATCTACAATCACTTGTTATTAATGATTATCAAATGTAAATCTTGTTATGTTATGTATCTACAGACCTTAACAGTTAGCAAAAATACAATAATCGTTTTTATAGATGGTAATCTGACAATGTTCCAAAGTAATTTGTACGCATGTTTGATATTCGTATTTAATTCTTCATCTTTGTGCATTTTCTCTGAATCCTCGTGTTTAAACAAAGCAAGAAAAGTGGTAATAATTATAAATATCCAACCCCAGAAATAAAGAAAATCTATAAGAAAAAATAGCAAATCATGACTGTGTTTATATCAATCTTTACAAGTTAAAATTCAAACTACTACTTTACCAGGTAGAGTCAAAATGCCTTCACTGTAAGGAGTGGATCTTAGATAATTATTGCAAAATTCAGGAGATTCTAATGCCATGAAAAGCACATAACCAATAAAATATCCAGCAGTTTGTCCTACACTGTTGCAAGTTGATGCATATCCAACATTACATCTAAATGTACAACATCAAGAAATAGACTAGTATTAACACTACTAACTTGTATAATCTCATGGTCACAAATTATATCTAAATATACCTCTTTAACATGGTCAATGCCCATCCATCAACTACAATATCTTGAGTAGCAGCCAAAACATTTAAGGCAAAAAATATTATGGTTAACATTCCTATATTTGGCTTCGTCGTTCCACTACCTAACCATCGATCTACATGGCAGGACAATAACAGCATAAAAAGTCCCATCAAATATTGAGTTGGAATTAACCACGTTTTCCTTCTTCCAAACTTCTGCGAGAACACAGAATCCACTATAGGTGCCCAAAACAGTTTCAAAGAAAAAGGCCATTGCACAAAGCTAAATTCAGCCTGATGATGGAAAACAAAATTCATGTAATATCATTTCTTTTATTTGAGGCAATTCCAGTGTAAACGTAAAATACCTGCTGGCGATATGAAACATCTCTATTCTGAAGTAACATAGGAATAGAACTGCACAAACCCAATGGTATCCCTTGTAACAGATATAAAAATAGAAGAGTGGCTATGTTCTTTTCATCACCTCGTAAGTCCGAACGTTCATGCACATGATGTGACTCGTGGACTCCATCTTCCACGTTGTCATGCTTATCCATTTTCCTTCTAGTACCCATGAAGAATGATATAAGAGATCACTAATAATCTCATTCACCTTAATTCTTTAATATCCGCTGATGTTTCGTTTCGCGCGAGCGTCAACTCTGATTTTTAACGCTTACTTTTAACAACGTTATCAAGCATCTCGTGGATTATGTACATATGTTAATTATCGATATATTGTTCCAAAATACTTCAATGTAGTTCCTTTGATCAAAGAACACACAAACATTTCTGAACGGAAGAGTCACTCACTCAACAACAAAATGAATTATTTATCTTGTGACAGATGCATCACCATTGACGTGGTCATTGCCAATATAACCTCAATTCTGTATACAAAAAACGATGATGCGCGCCTACGAGAAATTGACAGACAAGATTCTGATATAAAATAAATATATTCAAGCGTTTTACATTGACATCACGAACAACAGCTGCTAAACTGCATCTCAAATTATTTCACTTTCATCAACTCAGCCAAAAATTATATACAAAAGCTCGTAAATGCCACGTTGTTTTTCATTAAGGACACGTCAGTTATGTTTCGTCTTTTTCAATCTTAAAGCCACGTGTGAACCATTTCTTACTAAAACTAACGATTCAATAGAGAAGCAAAATGTACACACGATGAACAGTTTATTTGAGCAAATCGTCAATGCATTAGCTCACATAGAAACTCGCCTTTCACTACATTTCTATGAACAATAGTAAACTGTTTTTTTAAGTACATAATAAAAGCTCTTAGGATTAGAATACTATTGTTTAAAAGAATAGCGTTTTTTAAACGTAACAGTATATAAACATTTAAATAGTAAGATATTTATAGTTATTCAATATGGAAATTTCATAGTAGTGTAGATTGTACTTGGCGGGGATAAGCACGAGGATGAATGATATCGCCCCCCGCCCCCTCGCCACACTAGTAATTGCAAGTAGTAAAGCTGCGCATATTTCGGTTCCATTCGGTAAATTTGATCAGCCTGCGGGCCCCATTGACGAGTTGAGGTATTTTATTTATCTTTATTTTCTCAATTTCATTAACTTTATATTTTGTACTATTTCCTATCTTTATCTTACTTTCTCGTATGGTTTCTTCCTTTCGATGGCAAGAAGAGGAAACTAGTGTAATAATCAACAGCACAACAGTACTACGCATCAGCATATTTCGCGTTTTTATTCTTTTACCGTTTTGTATCTTTAAGCGAATGTCAAATTACAATTACAAGGTCCCAAACTCTAAAGTTTAAAAACAAAACTTTTGGCTTTTTTGTTTTTTAGAAATGTACAAGTAAATGTGCTGCAATTCTCCCCATTCGAGGCAACAATCGTTGCTGCTTTTACCAAGCTTTTAATGCGTGCATTCACAAATTCTTCGTTAGGTACACTGTTTAGAAGTCTGTAACGATATTTGAATTGTTAGAATATTTTCTGTATATTATTGTAATAATAAAAAGCAAAAATTATATACAAATTGTTCAGATGACGTTCTAGCGCTGATCTTTCTTTGAGAAAGTTAGCATCCTTCTTACGATTGATCCAGTAATTCTTTTGGATCTCACACGTGAGTCTGGCGACACATGTTGGTGAGACAGATATTTTGTTTCCATCTTTATCGTCCAACTACGATAACATAAGAATTAAAAATTAAAATTTTTAATTAGGATTAATGAATGAAAAGTAGAGGTACTGTCCAACTATGGAAAAAGACAGCAAGTGTAAAGAAAATATAAAAAAAAATTTTTTTGTACCTTTGAGTAGTTGATTTAATACAAAATTACAACAAAATATAATATATAGTCCTATTTATAATATATCCTTCTCATCTATAAATATTTCTAGTTATGTAACAAATTTCTATGTAAGTTTCATTTTTCCATCCATCCACATTCTATGAAAATAAATTTGCAAGAACATCTCTAGTCTATTTATATTGATTTACCATGAATTGGTTCTTCAAAACCAACAGATATAATCTTTCTCAATAGTTGAGCAGAACGTCACTCAAATACGACTAAACAACCTTGGTAACGTTACTTTTCAAGTTCATTATGTAATTCATATAAGCATCTCTGTCTTTAATGGACACGCTCGATCGTTTCCTTCTGCCTGACACAACTCCGAGCGGAAGAAGAACGGGATTCGTTGCTAAAGCTGCGGCTGCTCCAATTAGTGCAACGCCTGCTAATGCTTTTAAAGCGACCGCCTGTTACAAATAATAGTAATTAATAACGTGTTAAAAAATACGGTCAAAAATTTGACTTTGTAATGGTTTTATGATTCGAAACTCTGGAAATTTAGTTCGAATATATTTGATAAATTTCCAAATTTGATTTTCTTGAAGGATGTATTTTACATCTTCTATTTGTTTTATTTTTTAATTTATCACAATTTTTGAAGTTTTATGTGCAATATAAATTAGCAGAAAAATTCAAGATCTAATAGTATCTAACATTGATTGTATACAATTTCAAAAAATTACTGTAAAAATTGCTGCAATAACAATATTATCATCGATATTATTTCCTGAGAAATAGACTTCTTTAAAATCAGATTTCGATCCATTTCTTAGAATCATTACCTTCTGCGCGTTAATGTTTGGATAGGAAGGAGTATGTCCCTCTGGACGATTTGGCTCCACAGGTCCGAATTCATCGCCATTAGCAAAAGTTCCTGAAATTCCATAACCACCAGTAGACCCTGCGTACCCAGTTGGTCGGTTAAAACTATACCCTCCGAAACCACTGTTAGCATAACCATATCCTCCAGACACGCTGGAATCGTAACCACCGGGTTTGCGTGAACCTTCGCTTCCATAGCTCGGTCGTGAACCAAATCTAATAGTTGTACGAAATCGAGTTAGAGATTTAAACTATTACTGCGAGATTGAAAGATGCAAGTGTTGTTAAATTAACGCAAACGAAATTTCTGTGAATTGTGTGTCGATTAAACTAAAGAATAAATATACTAATATTATATTTAAATAATTTGGATATATTTTCTCAAAAATTCTTGTAATTAAAAGATAAATTATTATTAATTATTACTAAAAAAAAAAAAATTAAATCGGAAAGCTGCAAGAGTTTCATTTGAAGAATTTAAGAATTTTAAAGCAGACGTTCTGCTGTAAATCTAGAATAACGAGATTAATCGCTAGGATACTGTGCTGAATCATGTCGAATTTAATTAACCTTTGACAATGTAGTTCGAGAAAGATTATCGTCAAGTATACTAATACATTTACATTTACATCATACGATTATTAATTTGAATTTCAAATAATTATTTTCATTATTTTGTTTATTCGTATAACAGAATAAAAATTTATTTTAAAATGACATTTAATCAAATAAGATAATAATCATCACAAATGATCAACAAATTATTTCTTAAATACTTTATTTAAATGATCTATTGCTTGTATAAACTTAGATCGCAATAAAGTTAAATTATGTTTTGAAGAAATAAAAAATCTTAATCTTTCATTTGGTAGAACGACATTTCATATGCACGAACCTAACGATTGCTCACCTATCGCCTGCTTGACTTCCTTCATAAAACGCAGTTCCAGCGTAATTCCCACTTCCGGGTCTTCCAATGCTTCCTGATAATGATCCTTGAGTTTGCCAACCGTATCTGCATTAAATTTGAATTAATGATTTAACTATGTCCAATTGTATATTGCAATTGTGTTTTAAATATATTATATCATGTTCTATATCATGTTACGTGTTCTAAAAAATTAAATGTTTTAATTAAATCACCTATCAAAGGGCAAACGTTCGCCAAACTTAGTTGGATATCGACTGCTGTCCCCAGGGATCCTACTGTAATGCGAATCGGGTCGCGTTGACGAATTGGAACCGTATCTGGATCCGCAGCAACTGGAACTTGCACGTTTCAATATCATCGTGATGCAAACGTTTCAAAAATCGTCAAGATCTTTTTAAAATACTCGACTTATCTCTCGAATCAGATTCCAATCGATGGTTGATCGTTCGTGGGTGCTTATCCATGTTCTTCTCGTGTCCAGATTGCTCGCTATTCGGCACTATGCTGTTTAAATGTGACGTCTTGGAAGAATTTTTACCGTGTACAACGTTCGAGGAGGGTTTGTCTTCCGTAGACTGTTTCTTAACGAATTCAGAAACTGCGGCTAACTCATTATTCTCCGCGAGTGCACAGCAAACAACGCTGGCCGTTAACAAAGCGCAAACGAATCGTTGCGACATAATGAAAAATCTAATTAGGTGAGAGTTCACCGAAGAGGGAGAACAATTTTTTTAGACACGTTCTAACGTAAAGACCAAAGGAACAAAAGTAACTCTTTCCACGAGTTTCACCTTTTTATATAGTGGCCACGCATGGAATATTGTCACGCATTTGTCCTTCAGGACTGGCAGCTCCTTTTTCAAGCTTACTTTTCGTTGTTACTTCAAATGAAAAAGAAATTATTAATAATAAATAATAGATCGGTTAATTTCATATTCATTTTCAAGTAAGTTCTTGCTTTAATAACGATCTTCTTTATTTCACTTGCACATTTATTTGCCATAAGATATTTAATGTGGAAGTTAGAAGAGATTAACTTTGTTGAGAAATATCTGTTTGTTCAGTTGCGTCCCTGTAAATCACCAAGCATGACCGAAAAATGTGTAGGTGAAAATAAAAGTGTCACGAGTGAGCCAACAATATTCTTACCGTCACGCTAAGGATTTAATTAATGTCGGTTTGTTGCTACAATTTTAGGTTTTCACATTCTGATTGAACAAGGAACAAGTGGAATCACGAAAGATTCTGCTGTGTTTCTGCCAATGCTCTCTTTAATATTATAGTTTGCTTCAGACCATTAGATTTTCTCGAAAGTTGAAGAAAAGTATGCATTCTTCTTCGATCTTTCTACTTTCACATTGTACGAACAAAGTACGTCGTGTTAGTTTATTTTCATTGTAGAAACTGAGTCGGCAATGGTCTCCACTTTTTTTTTTTATTATGTGTGTAATATAAAATATTGAAATTTCATCAATATGTAAGAGATCCAATTTTTACGAGTATATTGATTGTTTGAAATAAATCTGAAAATATATAAAAGTATGTATTTCATATGTTTAAAATGATTATTCATCTCACAGACTGGTTTTTTAATAAATGTAACTTCTATATACATATATATTTTCAGATTAGTTTCAAATATTATCAATACAATATTATTGTAATATAGACGTATAAATTCTATGATAAATATTCGATTACATTCATGAACCACTGTATATGATATATTTGAAATATAAGAAGTAAATAAGAATGCAGTAATTATATTAACCTATTATAATTTGGTAATTAAATTTTAAACATAATTTAAGTCAGCAACATAATTTAAGTAGCAACAAATACTTTTATATGAAATATTCTACTATATGAGTATGCAACAATCAATGAATCGAGATTTTTAATACAATCTGTTCCGCCTAGATATTCTTTGTGTCGGTGATTGTCGATCGTGGTAATCGTATCTCGTTACAACATAGCACAAAATTTGTCTGTCTATTGTGCGTGAACGATTTGCAAGATTGAAACAAAGGGAAACGCGGGATTTTAAAAGTATGACGAGAGGAAGTAGTTTACGGCGCGACGGTGCGCGTTTGAGAGGTTGAAGAGCGTAATATGAAAACAATCTCGTTATTTTAATTGTAATTGAGAAGCTTCCCGGAAGAAGGTCCTTTATATTACGTTCACAAGTTTAACGTTAATTTTTAGATAGCACTCTGAATTGATAATTTCGATTATAGTAACTTTTAAACAATATCCACGCCATGAAAATGCATCGCAACAGAGAATAAAATCATAACTTAATTAACAGTTTAATGAATATAGATTTAAATTCTTAAAATTTTTATTTAACGCTGGAATTACTTAGAATGTCCGAAGCAAGGAATAGGGAAAAGTTTATAAAATAATAGAGAACGTAAACTTTTATTTATATAATTTACAAATTTCTAAATTCCATAAATCTCTAGATTCTCTAAAAATTTCTGACAATTGATTATTTGAATTGACAGTTCCAGTGCGCATAGTTTTCAGTATGCTAGTTACAATGCACGAACACTTCTCATATGTACTTATATTATCTTCTTTTTCTTTCTTTTTTTGCAGAAAATTTCTCAACCTACTCGAAAAATTTAAGAACAGGCATCGTCTTTTGGATAAGGAAATTTGTTATTCGCTGCGAGATAGAGAAGCTAGAAAAAAGGAGAGATTCTCCGGACTATGCAAAGGGAGCGAAGAGCGCGCAAAGACATTACGGAGCTAATTTGGAGAAGAGAAAAAAAAGGGAAGGAGGGGAAAGGTCGTGGATGAAGCGAAATGATTCGTTGCACGAACGAGGAGAAAGAGAAAAAGGAGAAGCGGAGAAAGAGGAGATAGAAGCAGCAGGGTCGGCGGGGTAACAGGAGAAGACACGACGAGGAGCAAGAGATCGCGGAATGGAGCAAGAGTGGAGTAATCAATACGCATTCACACGCGGTGGCTAGCATCCGGTTTCCATGGAGACCGACGCTGGCGCATGTGCAATTTAACCAACATTATATCCTCTCGTAGAAATTTATTCAGACACAATTCTGTGCCTGTACTGCACGGAACTACTAGCCAACATTATACATATACTACTACACATGAATCTATGTATCTTTGCACCAAGAGAAATACGCGACCATCCGAACGTTCTCTTCCATACGATTGTCCTCCAATTGCATTAAATATTAAATGTTCCAATTAAGTATTACTTCCCAGTGAAACAATGCACACTGTCTCGAAAAGCTTGAGCTAAACACTGCGAATAAAATTGTCTTATTTATCCCTCCATTGCAACACCCACGAGTAAAAAACAGAATTTTCTTCTTCGTCTCCTGTTGCGAGTTTCAGAAACAAGGTGGTGGTATTGTACGATTGTCCTCTTGATGGTGGTCATGCTGGCGTATCGTTGCCACTGTAGAATACAGCGAAGCGTTCGACACTCGGATGTTCACCCCCTGGCCAAATCAGAGGGGATGGAGCCGTTGGAGTTGGCGGGTAACAGGGGGTGGTTTCCCTCCAGGCGCCTGCGTCGAGTCCTCGATGACGACTCGACGAGGTAGGTGCTCGACCCGGACGCAGTACGGAAGAAACGTCGAGCACGCAGAGTGCCCGTCCTCGTGACACATCTCACCCTTTCTTTTTCTTTTGATCCATGGCAACAAGAAAACGTGGCGTAGCTCGCCCGGTGAATCACCCAGTGCAACATTGATCACAGTGATTTTACAGTTCAACGAGATCATCGAGTTGCATCTTGAACTCTACTGTCGTCGAGCGGTGGCTCTTCGTAAACGAAGAGAGGAGACGTTCATCGGGCCCGAGGCAAGGGTTATCAATGACTCGATGCCGCGGTCAGATAGGAGATACGTGCAACATCTGAATGGTTCTGAACGACTCGAGTGACACCTCGTACGTGGCGTATCGGCAAAACGATTCTTGTCAACGTTTTGCAACACATTTGCAAACGATTGTACAGTACACACGGTCAATATGTCGCGGTGAAGCAGCAGTTTAAGGATGAACCTAGCTCTTGTGCGCGATGTGTCCTGTGTAAAGTTGAATACACCGTATACGATTGACTCTCATCTGCTTGACTGCTCGTTGTGTTCCCACTAACTGTTTAGGAACAACAGGTTGAAAGTGGAGTTTTGTGATATAATTCGACGGGGTCGCCGGGGAAACCAACGAACGCCAAGATTTGATTGTTCGCCTCTGGTGAACCGTTCTCTGGGCCACGTCATCCGACAGATTCGAAGATCTGGCAATTGCACGATGCGTTTCCGGCGGATCAAAGGTTAATCGCCGAAGAGCATCCCGAGAGATGTTTTTACCACCGTCGAGGAAGGCTTAGTCGCATTTAATCGTCGCTTGCATGTGGGTCACAAGTTGCATTCGCCAAAGCTAACGGGATAGAGGGTTTACCGAGTAGAGAGGTAAGCTTGTTAAAATTGCGTTACCCCTCAGGGCATCCAGGCGTTACCGCTACCCTTATAATTAATTCGTTCTTCTTCGCGGATTTTTTTCTTTTTTTTTTTTCAAAACGTTTCCCTAAGGTTTTTCGGTCCTTCGAGATTTATCGTGGGTCGAAGCAGCCGAAAACTTTCCGATCGTCTTGGAATACATTTGGAATTTCTTCTTTTTAACGCAGAGAACGAGACTGAATCGTGTCTGAGAGAAAGTTTAGTTTGATCGTGTAGAATGATATAAGGATAGATGATATTTAGAAATTATTGGTCAAGTTGAAGTCACGTGGTGGAGATGCAGTTTACGGTGTCCTTAACCTCACGGAAAATCAATGTTCCTTACCTAATGATAACCAGGTGTATGCCATTCTATCTTCTTTATAAACCAAGAAACCGTATCGTTACAAGCCGAGATTTCAGTCTTTCGATGTTACATCAGGCGACAAATTTTTGATCAATCGTAGGTGTCCGAAAGTATTTAGGAACGTTGTAATCTTTCGTGTTTGAAAATTTAATTGAAATCGCTAATTCTATTTCCTCAGAGATCTCGATATTCGAGAATATTTTCTGTTATTAACTGATTCCAATTAAAAATCTCTTGCCAGGGGCAGTATTATTTGCTTAACGGGAAATTTATACTTGTAGTTATTTGTTTGTACGAAAATAAGAGTACTAAAAAAATTAAACGTATTTTATACAACAGTAGAATTTGTAAAGTATTGATACATCAATAATTATATTTTAAAACACACGCGTAATTTAATTAAATGACGAATTTTTATTTAAATAGCGAACACAAAAAATGAAAAAGTGTTTTAAGACTTTTGAACAGGAATATAACTCGGGAATTTTGTTATTTACGATAAATACTAAAAGTGAAAAGAGTGTGTTTCAAGGCTTTTGAGGAAGAATAAAAAAATTTAAATTAAAAATCTTTCAGATATTAAAAATAGAAAGTGTCCTAAGATCTTCGACTTTAGACAAATAGAATATGAACTTATTTATTCTTCCGAGAAAATGCATTTAAGTATGAAAATAGTTCCTCTGGTTTGATCGAGGTTTGATTATCAAATGACAACATTAAATACCGCTTCAAATAAATAATTCATACTTGACAGAATTGCTAAACTAGTAGCTCAACTCATGTACCGCTGGAATTTTTTTTTTTTTTTTCTTTACCGCATTAATTTCATTTATAGAAACCTAACTGGGTCTAATACTCTATTCAGGGGCACCGATACCGCAAACATTAAGAAACAAGGATTATCAGTCCCGCATCACATTGTAGCTGTGATTTTATTTAAGGTTTCACTCATGCTAATGTCTAATAAAAATTCCTTGCGAACGAACTTTTATCTATTTCTTGCTCAGATTGATTACGTTGGCTGAATTCAAGCGACTTGTTTAATGAGGACGAGGGTAGAAACTTGAAAGAATATTTTAGAAGGAAATATAACAAGTTTGTGGTTTCAATTTGGTTGAAATACTGAACTTACTTTAATTTCTAATAAATACACAACAGTTATATTCAAAAGTAGATGAAATAAATAAATTTTTATATGGAAGTAACAACATGATGTGTTTCTTTAAGAAATTTCTTTTCAGAAATTCGAATATATGAGAATTACAGGGGAAAAAATATAGAACGTACATTTTTATCGACTTTTTAACTTTAATATCATTTTAAAAGTAAGGTGGAATATTTAACGGGAAATAAAATTTAATGGCCTAGAAAAAGATTATCCGATTTGCAGTGGTTGTGACTGCGTTTTGTAAATCTCTTTTAGGTGATTTACATCAAATGTAATTATATACGAGGATGCGTAGGGTTACATAGATCCTACCGCAAGTGACACTAGTGACACGCTGGAGGGTTTCTAGTGGGATGTCATTCAAAACACGCGTCAACCGGTAGGGATGTTTTACGCGATGCTGACAGGGAACGACTTCCCCTACTTTCTTCATTGCGATATGACATTTTCTAAACGCTTCGAAGAAGCGAAAAAAGTTCAAAATTCGCGGTATACTATCGGCCATGAAGCATTTCACGTCGTTTCGAATATTTACATGTGGACAAAAATTCGAATACCACTTTGGATTCCAAAACTGTTGGAAATCTTGGTTAATTTTGAATCTTGAGTCTTGAAAGAAAATGTCGATAGCTTTGATAAATAATAAATTTTTACGTATTTGCGGGAAATTTTATTTAATCACATTCGTAAAAATGTGAAATTTTTCTTAGTGAGTAAATGTTTGCTGTCTTGCAAACATTTTTAGTATTTTATCTCAAACATGATATCATTAATATACATTGATAATACTTATGTTAGAAAAAAAATGGAAAGTTGAGATATAGTATCATTTTCATAGTTGTACCATATAGATATTATACACTTGGGAAATAAAAAAAGAAGCACTTCCAAAACACTGAATAATCACCAAGTTTTCAATGTCTGTCTGAAGCCTAGAGAATTGTTTAAACTTCGAGAGTTTAAAAAAATTTCAAAATACCAAATCACATTCAAGTTTTCACGATATTCGAGTCGTCTCGATGTCGATACAGCTATGAATTTACGAGAAATTGCCTCTTAAGTAACACTTGAATTCCTAATGCTTTCATTCGGTTCGACGAATCAACAGGGGGAGGTCCAAAGATCGACGCGATGGAAATTTTCCGCTTCCTCTGGGGTGTGTAACGTTGCATGCGCTGGATGACTTTTAGTCAACGTTCGCTGAACAGAAACAAGAAAAACGCGGAAGAAAGACGAGGGAGAAAAAGATTACATGGGCAGGTGTACGGCGAAAAGTGGTTCTTCGCACGCGTATCCCACTGTAATGAGAACCAACGTTGATTCTCTGGTCGTATGTAAGAATGCGTTAACAATCTCTGGGTGAAAGTTCGAACAAAAAGATTATTCTGTTAGTTTGCAATTGAAAATTTGTACCATTTAAAACATACTACAGTATATACTAATCAATTGCTAATTGTATTAATTCTCAAATATATAATATAGTTAAATTATGAAGTAACTAATGTAATAATTTAGGTCAGGTTATTAAAACGTTGGGTAATCAAACTGAATAAATAAATTAAACCAACTGAGATTAAAGATTTAAAAAAATTAATTAATATAAATCCTAAGTTGACCCTCAGTGTCCGATAATACCAATTAGAACAATATCTAACACTTTAAAAAATTTTGTACTACGAAAATGAAACATAGAATTTAATAAAAACAATTCATTGAAAACCCTAAGTATAAAAACTCTTTGTAATTGCAGTAAAAATTCAAAGAAATCGTAGTCTTTAAAATTCAAAAGATATCGTGATTTATTATATTCACAACAAATAGAATAGAAATTCTTTCAAAGAACAAAAAAAAAAAAAAAAAAGGGAAAAATATGAACGTACAAAAAGGAAAAATAAGCTCTAGAAATCTTTACATATTTTTTCCAAGCTAGACACAACGAAAGAATCGATAACTATGCAATCGCTGAAAAATACTCGGCACGTTCTTTTAATCCCAGCTTTTTCCACGATTATTTAAACGAGGGGAATACGGGCCTGCTGTTTAAAATCTGTCGACGTGATATTATATAGGTTGTCGTATTTTCCTCGCTCACGGGATTCGTTGACGCGGTTCAGACAGCCGCTGTATGTATGCGTTTCATAAAATCTTTACGCTTGATTCTCCCACCCCCGTGCATTACGTCCATTTCAAAGATCACGCAGAAAAAGTCGCGCAAAAAATCCCAACGATGCTCGGCTATCACGATGCAGTCTGATATATTAATTTCACGTGAGAAAAGTTGTAATTTTTCCTCAAAAATTAATGGTTTGGTAACAGAGAGATTGAGACCAGTGTAGTAGAAAAGACAGCGACGAAGAGCAATTGCATAGAAAAGGATCGAACAAAATTATGAACCTCTCGCTTCAATTGACAGAAAAAAAAATTACAATAAAAATAATTTTTTCTCTAATTTATTTGATTGTATCTGACTGTAATTTATCAAATTTTTCGAAAAATATAATTTTCATCCCTTTCGTCCTGGATTCTTCACACAAAGATCGAAATTATTTTATAATTATAAGTTCTAGAGTACGAGATCTAAGCTTCATTGACAGAGAAATAAAAAGAATTGACGACAAAGAATTACACTCCTGTACATTTCACAACGGGAAAATCGAAATTTCCTCTTTGCGTGCGAGAAAGCCAGATCCTTGAAGCAGAACGACGCGAAACAGGCGGGAAAGGAACATCGGCCGGCGTAATACAGAAATCAAGAGAAGTGCGAGTGTCAACGCGATAGAGGAAATTGTCTGACTACGGCTCCCTTTTCGGAAGTCGGTAGCGGTAACGCATCCCCTCACGACTCGAGTTAAGTAGTGCGAGGCAGAGAGAAAGCTTCTTCGCTCACCCTCTCTACGTACGATTCCCTCCCTCCGTCATTCTAACCGGAATAGGCAGCCAGGGGGGATGAAAATCTAGTCGAATCTTCGGCGGCCGCGTTTCGCAGCATATCGAACCTGGGAAAAATGAAATTCCCGCCACTGGTCGATAACACCGCCGGCTTCCTGGGTTGTCGGGGGTTGCTGAAAGAAAACGCTTCCCCGGCGTTCGGCGTTCAAGAGTCAGCAGTCGAAGGGATGTCATTTCGGTCAAACAATACTCGCGCAAAGGGAGAGGAGTTTGAGAAAATTCACTCATCCGTCACTGTTGTTCTTAGGATGTTTGTGGAAAAATAACATACATCTAGAAAATTATTAGGAACTTGAATCTTTCGAGTTATTCTCTGTTTGAAATTATGAGAATGAAGAACGTACAGTTTACGATCAGAAGCGAGAGTATATATCGACAAATTGATCGTATTATTTATAATTGACAAGATTTTTATATTACAAAAATATAAAATCCACAGTCTACCGATGAATTTTGATACGAATATTTTGATTATCTGAATCAATCATCGTTAGCATTGATCAGCTGCTTTCTTTCACACAATGAACAGAAGTTTTACAAGTACAAATCATCTAATTATACTTCATATTAATTAATAATAGTTAGGAAATTAATAATAGTTAGGAAATAATACATCAATTAATTAATAATAGTTAGGAAATTATTACTATGCAAAAGCTTGATTCCTGATACTTGTAAATGTGAAATTCTTCACCATTTGAAGCATGTACCATTTCTTTCGCGATTCATTTCTCGTCACTGATTTTACAACGAAACCTGCTGTCATTTTTCCAACTATCAAGCGAATATAAACGTAGCATATGATGCAGCGTAAGAGATTAAAATGACTCAGTCTTTGAATAAACTTCCAGCACGACGGACTTCTAGTCTCGAAAGCAACAGGAACAAACGAAGCGTTTTCACGTGCTTCCAGTTTCCGGGTCAGATACCATTTGCATCATCGATTTGACAAAACGCGAAGATGTAAATTACAACGAGCTGACAAATTGCGAATACCGACTTTTGCACGATACACTTCACGAATTTTTCGACGTGTATTTTAGCGGCAACTTCAACGAGGGGGTCGTTGCATTTCCATTCATTTGAATTAGACTGCCTGCTACAAAGGTTACGCCTTCAACCCCTAATTTCTTCAACCAGATTGAAATGTTAACATCGACTTGCTTCGTTTGATCCATTATTTGATCCCCTTCTTTTTATCAACTTTCGTCAATAACATTTTTCGTCTTGCTTCACGTCAGAACTTTGAGATATCAAGTAACACTCGTGCGAATTAAAATTTCCCAGCAACTCGCGAAAGTATTTGAACACTTATCGTAGAAAATTTTTATGAATGTACTTTGAGTTTGTATATTCTGCATTTGTTAATTATAACAAATACACTTTTATATACCTATTTTTGTGTATTATACACATTGCGCGCATTTTAGCACCTTAAATTCCTTTATTTCATAAATGTACAAAAATCCTCAGTCCGATAATAATAACCGCATCTCATTATTGAACTGAAGGATTATAATTTATAATAGAAATCATAAAATACAGTAAAAGATATAATTTAAATAATGTTACATACCAAAGTTATGAAATGTGCCATAATATTGTTATTATTGTAGAATAATTTATATATTTTTTCATATTATGTGCATTAAAGACGATTTTGTGTCTTTAGACCATAGTCGATCCACTATAATACTAACAAAATTCCAAAGAATTTTGTGAAATGTACATAATATATTCATAAGAAGCTTCCATCGTTGTCCAAATACTTTTGTGAGCTACTGTACGTCCGCTATTTCCCCCGTAGTTTCACAGATTTCTCTTCGCCACGTTTCTTTGACGACACTGTACAAAACGAGTATAGGTATACCATGGGGAATCCCATTTGTACCGGGTGGCGCGGCGTATCTACCGGCGAGCATATTGCTTCGCAGACGTATTTGCGTACGCGTGTTTGGGGTGCGTGAGGGTGCATTCGTTTACCCGAAACTCGATTTCGAAGCTTCGGTAATTGAATTTCAAGTACGTCTGCGTGGCCAGCCTTTGATACGTTTAAAGCCAATGTGAAAGGCATTTAAGAACACTGCTCGCCTTGCTCGTTTAATTCTAGATTTACATTAATCTCTCCGTAATACTTTATCACTCCGATATTTTATCTTCTGTCAAAATAGCTTTTCGATAACTTTATTTTTATCTTTGCCGAGCATTTAATAAATAAAACTAATTGCATTGTAAAAAAATGGCGGTGTTATTAAATTTTTCTTGGACTATTTATTACTGGACTATGCAAATTTAATCAAAGAAGTAACTCTTGTTTCATTCACGAATACTTTATTTTATTTGTTTCTGAAAATTATATTTCAGTTCCAATGAAAATCAGTTTCAATCGCGTCGATGGTATCTACACAAATCCTGTTCGAAAATTTAGAGTGCATTAAAATTTCAAAAGAAGTAATAACTTCTTCAAGTACCTAAACAAACATTTTGTTCACAATATTATTTTTCACAGCACTGAAAAGTTATATTCACATTCATATTTATATTTATATTCAAAATTCATATTCATATTTCTCAGAATATATATGAGGTGTTTTCCTCAGTTAAAAAGTGCACTAAACTTTCGTACGAAGATATTTTCCTGATCGTAAGAAAGAAGATGGAAAAAAAATTTTCATGCATTACATTCCAGATTCCTGCACCTTCAAATTTTCCATGAATGCACAATTAGATGAACTAGAAACTTCCCAGTTTCGTCCGATTTGGAGTTGATCATCATCGCAAACGAATCGTTCGTTAAGTCGTTTCTTTAAGCAGAACTAATTCGAGATCTCTCTGTTACAGGAAGAAAATGTGGAGCTCGGTTACTGCGGCTGGCACTGAAAATGGGCCCGCACCACCTTCCAGAAGCAAGCACAGCGCTACTTTGCTTGCCGGGCACGTATATCTCCTTGGCGGGCGAAATGGCAATCTTCCTCTCAAAGACCTCTGGCGATACAGCCTTGGTAAGTGATAATTACTATCGCTTTTAATTCTTGTCTGACAATTAATACAATCTATAATAATACTCTACATTAATACAAAACTTTGTTTAGATGAATTTTTCGGTGGACAAATTATTTATATGTATATCTTTAGTCCAATATACATAAATAGAAGACCAGTGATATCCTCTCAATATACTGTATATTTATCCTACATAAAATCATAAAACATGTATCTCTATTTAAAAATATTTATATCGAGTATACAAACGAAGTGACAAACTTAATTATGGATTACATGGATTAATAAAAAAGTAAATTTATTTAGGATATATAGAGTTTTTGCATCAACTGAGAAGTCAAAGCGAATAGTTGGCTTTTTCACCGAGAATGATTGATTGCTCTGATTAAGCCACGTACAGTGTCCAGATAATTCTATTATATAAATTGAATTCTAATATACATCTCCATAACAAAATTTTTGCTACTTTATTTGAAGCACATATTATTGAGAAATCAACACGAAAACTTGCTCTTTCTCCACAAGTAACAAATAGTTGAATAACAAACTTAGGCTGCATACACAGAGCATCAATTTCCCTTCGTTTTTGATGAATATTTAATTCAAGCAATCGAACGCTACTCCATTGTATGCACTGCGTTTTGGAAGTAATGATATGGAACTATGGAAGGGAAAAAGGGAAAGTGAAATTCGTCAATGGAGAAAAATCCTCGTAATTATAAGGGGTATTAATACACGATGTCTGAGTACCATGAATACGGTACACGAACAACATCTCTGACCAACGCACCCTACCATCTCGCTCGTTGAACGAGGGTGCGCGACGGAATTTAAACGGGGTTCAGTCTGATCAATAATACGCCATTATTAAAGCCCACGTATATCAACTAAATCCGCCGGCGATACTCCACAATTACGGCTGTTTCCACGGAGATCAGACATACGCGAATTAATTGCATCCCCATGTGATAATTAATGATTCATACGCGTCATAGATTGCACTAGCCTTGTAACTAGAAAATCAAAACTTTCTTCAAACAGACTTCTGATAACCGTCCAATAAATAAATATAAGATTAGAGATTTACTTATTAATTTGAAACGAAAAAAATATATAAAATATATGAGAGAACAATTTTCTGAAATTCTATTTCTCTAATCATATTTGTACAATTTTCAATTATATTCTCAAAAACATGAAGTTGAACTTCCACGGAATACTGGTGAACTTTAGCATTTGTAATATAGTAAATTGTCCGTATTAATTTATTGCTCACATTATTGAAAAATTATTCTACAAAAGATTGAAGTTCTAATGTCTATAAATGTGAGTGTCGACCGATTTTTTTTTCTTTCGTGTGATTATCCTATTTTACGTTAAATTGTAAACTACAAAGAACAACTTACGCTCGTCAATTCATCAATATAATACATTATTTTGCAAACGTAAGCACCGATTAACTTTTTCTCGACCACAAATTATTTCCCGGTAAATCATCGACAATCCCTCACAAAAAAGCTTCCTAAAAATCAAATACCTAATAAGGATTATTCGATTTAAATAGCCGACCACGTCAAACCTAGCCAAGTTTCGATCTGCCTGACTGGCAACAAGCTGAACGTGTATTCCCCGTGGACTGTTCGCCGACCGATATTGAACTCAGCCAGCGAATTCATGCGAGCGAATTTTAAATTGGTCAAAGACCTCGTTACGTTTTTGTAAAAAAAAAAAAAAAGAAAAAAAAATACTGTTCGTTCAAATCGCGTGATCGACGCCAGAATGAAACAGAGTGTCTGTCACTGTAGATAATTCGACGCTGTATACACAAAATACGAGGCGAGGTTTTAATACGATAGAATTTGCAATGGTTTGATCGTACGTTCACCACGAGATGTCCCTATTCATCAGGCGGGATTGTTCGGCTGCAACTTCGGGTGAATATTAAAGCGGCATCGGAAGGGTTGGACTCGGCGGTTTGTCTCCTGGGGGCAAATACTAACAGAAAATCCCCCGGCACGCTTTTAAAAGCGTAGCGTTGTCGATACATGATCTTGCAAAAATATTGTGATAACTCGAACAACCGTAAGAGTGCTTCATCTTTGTGCGTTTCGTCTCACCCTCGTTTGCAACCGGTGTAGGGAATTCGAGGGGGTTCTTGAGGTTTATTGTCCATTCGTTTGATGGACTTCTAACTTTGACAACGTTAGCGAAGATGCGAACGTCTTACGTTCGTGTAACAGCGTGTTACTTGAAAGCATAATTATTTTTATCTATGTCTAGAGTCAGGTTGAAAAATTTGAAGCATGTCAGAATTTTAAAAAGTAATGATATTCTTAACTGAACAAATATTTTAGTTGTGATATTATTTTTATATTATGTTTAAATTGTAATCAATTATATTTAAAGGTAGATGTTATAATATTCTGATGGATAGGCAAAAAAATAAGAGAATGTTTTATAGAAAAACACTTGTAATACTAACAGTATTTAAAGTGAAATGTAAGACGATATACATCATTTTTTGGAAACGATAATTTATATTACCTTGACTTGTACTCTTCTGTCCATCACAGAATTATAATATTATAACAAAGAGAATATTAAACATTTTCTTTGTTGATAATATGAGTCTTAAAGCTTATTAAAATAAAATAAAAGTTAGATTGATATATAAAATTAAAAGAATTAAAAATGGTTGAACGCGGACAATATTTTTAATTCTTTTTGGAAAAAAAACGATATGTTACCCGAGGGATGGAGAGCAAAAGTGGGCTAACCCCAATATTCAATAAACTGAGTAATTCGCTGTCCAAAATAGGTGTGAACAGAAAATATCTAGCGTGGAAACTGATGCTGGTTCATTTTGAAAGAAATAAATTCTTTCATCTGGTTTTTTTTCTTTTTCTTTATTAAATCATTTCCTGAGAGCTGTCTTCTCTAATGCATACTTATGTGCGAATAAAAAAAGTATTGAGGCGAATTCTTGTTACCTTTATTTTCCAATAAAATGTATTTTTTATCAAGACCTCTATGTAAAATTTTAAAACATAAAATACAGACTATAATCACTTAAAAGATTGCAGACATCGAAATTCCAATATTCAAAAAATTATTAATCTCACTGTATAAACCTTGTAAACTCACATTAACAAAAACACACAATGACTTAGTTATTCCACTTTTACACTCAGTGTCTCATTCGTCGACATCCTCCAGAAATCTACATAGCGAATTAATCGTTTCTCGCCTCGGCTCGAGCTATTCTTCTTTCATCAAAGCCATCGATAGTTTTATCCTACGAACAGCACTTTTCGGACAAAAGGATGCATTGCTTGGTAGCCAGCTAGATACGACACGTGTTCGTAATCAATGTCGGGCATCTCTAGTGTCAAGTCTTTACAAGAGTCTGCAACGTACTTCAGCCAGCACATTACGGCTCTTACGTAAATTTCATACGCTTTGTTCTCAAGCACGTTCCAGTACGAAGCTGCGAGACACCGGCACCGTTCTTAACGTTCGAGAAACTTTCCTTTGACTTTCGTTTTGAAAACACTACAAGAACGACGAAAAAGACGGAAGGCGGTGGAAGAAGGGACCTTTTGTTCGACACATCGGGCAAGAAAAACCGTCGTTCCTTTATTCGTACATACGACATATAACGTAACTTCATGCCCCGGTGGTTTCCTTTGCCTTCATTTTTTTTTTTTTTCCGAGCGGATTAGGGGAGCGTCCCTTTTCTCTTTTCGTAAAACTTCCGAAGGGTAAAAGGACGTCTGTCTCTTGTTAAACCCACGCAATAAAGGAACAAGTTCTAACGCACCCTTCAAAGCGTCATCAACTTAACGTTAAATGAATTCAGATTTCTTCGATTCCCTTTTATGCAGATTGCGTAAAAATCTTGCACTGATTCTTGCAAAAGGAAGAAGAAACGATGTGAATACTGGTGGTGCACAGGATGCCTTTGCAATGTTAATGGTGGTATGTGCGCGCGAATGATAGTTTCTTGTGAACAGATAAATTGAAAATGTAGTCTTGCGCGTACAACGTGCTTCGTTTTTTTTTAGAGGAACAGCTTTATAATTAAAATTATGCTTATATTAACTGTAAATTTCGATTTGATTTTTGTATTTTGTTAGAGTACATTTTAGAAGCAATAGTTCTTATTAGAAATTATTATGCATTTTAAAAGCAACTTCTTAATATAATATTATTATCACATTTTTACTAATCTATTGAGAGTTTTTTTCTCACTGAATTTTTAAGTTATTCTAATATACAATAATTGAAGGAGTTTATAGTTGAAATTATAAAGTCATTCTCCTTCTCCATCATTATCACTGCCAAGGGTTGATACATATTTTCAAAATTATTTAAAAAAAAAAAAAAAAAAGAACGAAGCCTATATATTCTAGAGTCTATATTTTCAATTCACTTTTTTACGAGGAATCGTCCCTTGCACAGTTGCAGCACGATTGCAAAGACACCCTGCATTTTTTGTTTGAACACGCTACCCGCGATATAATTATCTCTCGTACGTTTTTCTCCACGTCCTTGGCACTGCTTATATTTAATCCCTCGAACTTACTCTCGCATTCGCCGTCTCTTTCTGTTTCTAAGAAGCCCCCAACCACTTTGGAGGATTTATTTCAGAGCAGCAGATTGCCGGGGCGGGTGAGAGTGTGATTTAGCGCGACGAAAAAGATTTCCAGATACCCCTGAGACTGCGATTCTCTTTGCGTGTCTGCCTTTTAATTTTGCACGGCGTTACATCGATGTAACTATCCTTCACGAGGATATGTGCTCTCTCGTTGCGGCATTATCTGATTTCGGATGAAACGTGACAACTGACAAATGATCGATCTGATCTGAATTGTGTAAAATTTGTAAGTGTTACAAAAGAACATAATGTAGAAAATTTGAGAATACATGAAAAATTCAAAGCTGTGGAAGTACATAGAAAATTACATTTTCATAAACGAATTTGCATAAATATAATATTTTCAGCTTAACGATGAATTAATCTAATTATATTCGTATTTTTCAACGATATTTATTTCGAATTGAGTACTTGATAATTCAAAATTTAAGTTAGGGGATTGAGGGAGCCAACATGTGATTCCTAACCCAGATCTGTCTATCACCTTTCAAACAGAAAGAAGAGATAATACACATGTTGCAATTTTCATATCCAATATTCGTTAGAATAGACGACCCTTTTTCAGAAACTATCCGCAATGAAAAAATTTAATCAATTAATTATTTATCATCTTACAAATCATGGCTTACTGGACGATCTACTAAATAAAACATAATTTTCCAATATGTAACAAATATGTAACGAGTAACCACTCTAATATTTATGACCAACAATCTAAGTAACTTTCCGAAGATATTCCTAGAAAATAGGAGCACCGCTTACGGCCAGCGTTAAGTGTCACGGCATTCTCTATCTTGGCAAAAACTGGGACAACCATATGCATGCACTGTACGTTATAGTGTAAGCGGGTAATTAAAACGCGCAACAACGGCATACATTAAAAAAGCTGTAGGTTATTAAATTAAGCATGTCGTCTGAATGTCGCGAGACACGCGACACCGATAAGACGAGTCTCTTTGTGTTTTTCCTTCCGTTGCAATTTTTTTTAATCACCGCTTCATCGTCCCCCTCGGTGACAAAAAGAAACGCACAAAACCAGGGTCGCGTAAATCTTGTTTATTCAGCACATGATTCAAAGGAAAAAAACAAGAAAGAGAGAGAGAGAGAAAGAGAGAAAGAGAAAGAGAGTCTGGGATATGAAAACGTTTGGAATAACGAGCCGACGCGTTAACCCTTTTCTTTATTTTTCTTCGCAGCCGACAGTAAATGGGAGGAACTGCATCCTGAGGGAGAGAGACCGCCGGCACTTCAGGAACACAGCGCGGTAGCTTACAAGGATTGCCTTTACATTTTTGGGGGAGAGCTCGGCTTTTCCGCGGGCACGGAAACGCCACTCTGGGTTTACAATGTCAAGGTAACGTATCACCCAAAGCGAACCGGATCGCATCCCCTCTTTCAAAGAAGGTTTCAAGAACGCGTCGAGGTGAACTTCGTTCGATCGAAAGAAACGAAACCTCCACGACGTAATCTCGTCGTTAAGCCGTGGATTTCTGTGCGTTTGCGAAAAATTTAAAGACCCAACGTCTTTACACTTTGATATTTGCAAAAATATGTATATGAAATATCTGAAGTACTCTCAACAATTTTTAACAATCGAAGAGTTTTTTCTTTCATTCGTGAAAACGTTAATTTGTATAAATGTCCGCTAGTTTACTTGTGAGTAAACTTGTAAGGATTTGTTAGCTGCGGATTACTATGAGAAGTTAGATTTCTTAAAATATTAAAATATTTGACGTATGATATTCATTGCAATTCCACGTTCAATTTACATTCATGGAAATATAAATTTGCATAAATATCCGCGGACTATTTGTCAATTAGATCGTAGTCGTTTACTTCAACTTAAACGTTAACTCAACGGGAAAATATTTCATTTCACTACGTTCGTAAAATGGAGTTTTAATTAATTAAAAAAAATTGAGCTGCGATGTACCTATCAACGCCGCGTTTTAGTACGAATCTGATTTCTATTTGTACGAAACTTGTAAACGAGGTGTCCGCTGTGCGTACGGGTTAAAACTTGTTAGTAAGATTTAGTTTCATTCGAGTTTAGGCGATTCGATTTGGCGAGGTTATGGTAGCCTCGAGGTATTTGGCCCCAACGACATCGCAGCGAGGGTTTCGACACCCTCGGTTGAATAAACCAGACTACCAGACGAAGGAACATATTGGCCTTGATTGACAATATCTCGCCTCGATGCATTTCGCACAGTTTCGTTCACTGAAATTCGTTCGAAGGCACTAAGCGACGATTTTGGGTACCACGCAGGTTACACGAACACCATCAATCTTCTTGATTGCTCGTTTGGAACGAGAGCTATTGTCTTCTTCCAAGTGTCCTTGCCACTAGAACGCAATTGTTCGGTATGCTTCTCTCATCGTTGTCCTTCGTTGTGGTTTGCTAGTTCCTGAACCCAACCCTCTCTCTTCCCGCTCCCCTAGAAGACAAGTTGTCATGTACATCCGATACATCCGGATGGTACTCTGTCGGTTTCTCGTGGGTGTTATTCTTTCATCTGTCTTCAGCCTCGTCGGCAGCACCCCTATGCACCGCTCCTTGTATCTTCCATTGACGAGTAACATCGTTAAGGCTCGCGTTTGTAAGATGCGATATCATGTTTGTGTACGTATAGGATGATCTCGAAATTGTGCTACAGTATCCGAACTAACAGGGAGAGGAAACTGTTTGGTTAATGGAATCTTCGAATAATGGAACGATCACTTTTCTTATGTTAAAGTACGTGTATTTAAATGGAGATCGGAAAAATTGTTAGTTTATTCCAGTATCAAACAATGAAATATTTTCTTTTTTTTTTTTTTGGCTATTGAATTACCTAACTTTTTTAGCACAATTAAGTAGAATTTTTTTCGTGCTTCCAACTATCGAGATCTTTCTCTAAACGTTTCGATTTACGACATCTTTGTCACTCACGAATGAAAATTTTAATTTATCACGAGATTGAATATAATCTTTCATTTTCTATATAATCTTGTATTTCGTATTTTAATAAATTCTTTTTGCAATTATATTGTAATTAAATGTATTAAATTCGGATATTAGAGTGATTTTTAAATTTTAATATCAGATATTAGAGTGATTTTTAACATAGGAGTAAGTTGAATTAAATTTTTTCGTATTTTTGTATCTTTCGTATAGATGTCTCTTACATTGTTAAAGATTTTTTTACATGCTCACCACTAATCACATGTCTCTACCATCTTGCTATTCTCATGATGATTGACTGCCGCGGATGCATCATTCATCACTGTCAAAACCAATCTATCGCCATTAGTTTCTGAAGATATCGAGTTTCATCGATCAATGCACATATCATGCCTATATTTGTTTGTTCCGAAGAGCTTACTAACCTACTATATGGTAAAAAATCGATCATAGAAGATCATAGAAGAAGCACATAATAAGTCACATTCTCCACATTTCATAAAGGTGCAAAATGTTCATGAAATTGTCATTACGTTAAGTTTAATTTAAGTTAAATTTAGTTCATATATATTTGTAATAATTATTTTATTAAATCCTTTTAATCTGCCAATTTGAATACAATTTATTATATCGAATACAAAGTTTTAAAGTTCAATATATTATCAATTAATTTTATGTTTTCAATTTTTATTCGATTTTATTTGACAGTTTTCTGTTTGATTTTTATATTAAATATAAAATTAGTCTATATTTTTATCAGTATCTCTTAAACATTCTAAAATGACCTATTATGATTTTGTACGATTTATCAACTATTTCTAAAAGACTTGTATCTTTGAATTTAACAAGTGTTTCTCTTAACTATATAAATATATTAAAACATTGCTGTTATATAATATAATATATTTGCTAACTATGAAGTTTGCAAACATATTGAAATATTCCCCTTTAGTTGTCAAGTATGTATCGAAATTAAAAAGTGAACAAAAATGGATTTATCGTGTGTTTGACATGCGATCCTTAACTACGTATATTCGATATTCAAAAACATGTGCAAATAGTTGGATCCTTACTGACTACAGCAATTTTTGGCAACAGCTGGTGTCAACAGCTCTTCCTTCCATTTCGTACCCTCGAAATTGAATGGCGCTCATCCTCCCAAGGGTTTCTCTACCCTCAACCTGTACACCATTAAAAATTGATAAACCGAAAACATGAAACGCGTTAATAATTCTCGTCCTTTCCACAGTGCATTCGTAAAAAATAAAAATTATGGCCACGGATGAAAAATACGATAAATTCCACATTCCTCACACCTCTTATGGGAGAGCAATTTTAAAATTCAATATATTGTCAATTTTATATCAAAATTTGTATTTTCATTTGATTTTGAAACTAAATATGGTGTTTTATTATACTCTTGAATGTTTGGAAAATATAATTTCCAAATACTAGTTACGTCAACACAACCTAAAATTCGTGATTTTTTGTTCCAATTTGCCAAACGTTGTCACTTCTTCAATATCCGCACATAGTTTTCAACTAATTAATATTTGAAAAATATTATTTACAAAATTTCATAGATTTGTCACCTATCTTTTGGAATTAAATTACACACAAGTAATAGTATCTGTCAAGAATATTACGCCTATCTTTAAGAATTATCTTTGAACCTGATAACTAATTGACATCGAAGTCAACAAATTATCAAAAACATATTTCTCTTTTTCAATATGCTCTCCAAACACTTCTATTTATCTATCAAGTGACATAAAAATCGACAAATAAAAGAAAAGCTAAACTTCTCCCTTTTTTCCTCGCATGTTCTTTAAGTAACGTAAGAGAGAGAAAAATTTCCCGTGGAATTCCGCACCTTCTCCGTTGCGTCACTATGGTTACCTGTTGGTCCGTTTGTTTTCATTCATTGGACCATGCCAGAGACCAGGGATATCCCCCGTTGCTTGTCTCTTCGCGATGTATTATTGAAATCCGCGTTACGAAAGCCAGGCAAACCCGATTGGTTAAGCCGGAGGGGTTGCTTCGCGATATCCTCTTTCTCTTCCGCTCTTCTCCATTTTTTCCCCCGTGTGCTTCGTTAAAATTCTCCCCCGTGCACGGTAAATCGAACTCGGAAGCGAAATTTTATATTCACCGAATATTCTTCTTCTTCTTTTTTTTTTTTTTTTTTTGCTATAAATTCGTAGAGAACCGGTCGATTTAATCGGTTCACAAACATGGATGAGATATCTCGCGATACAATAATCATTCGTAAACGATACCAGGAACGAGATGTCTCGCGTGTTTCTTTATTAGAACGAGAAACTTTCTAATTCGAAGAAAAATCAATTTCTGAAACATGTTGCTTCTAGGAACAATTCTCTTGTAATGCAATTCAAAGCATGAAATACTGCTCAATATTGCAGCATCGTTTTCACAAAAACTAACCAATTCCTTTGCATGTGCAACATACATGTTAGGTCAGATGATTTTTTGAGAAAAAGTTTCGTGCATCGATTCTTCTTTGAAGTATAATCGTCGTCCTAATAAAGAAACGACACTGTGTCGCGAAATAATTCGTTCGTGGTAATATCGTACGAACGACGTCGTGGTTGCGAAGCGGTAAATCCAAAAACGCGAAGATTCAGGGGGTGTTACCGCGCGGTTCTTTGAAGTTTTTCAAGCGCGTCCGCATCGTTGATGATACCTAACTGTTTTCTCGCTAATTTTACAGCGTTTTAACGTCGATGGCGAATTTAGCTAGTATTCCACCCTTTAGCAACCCCCTCGTGCCGGTAATACAGGGTAGACGCAAGTGGCTATACAGACCTATCAACTTTAGGCACGTACTTGGAGTTACGTAATTACTTTCAGCACCCCTGCTATATAGCTTATATACCTTCCTTCCATCTTCTCTCCTTTGCATGCACGGATCGCAGACCCTTGGCTAAGCCAACGCGTTTGCTTCTCTTTCTCCTTGGCGGTACACATTGACTGAGTTCAGCAAAAGACCCGCTATGATCGCCCGTATGCATTAAAAACCATGCACAAGTATGATATCTCGTCTATGACAGCATATAGGAAAAATACCGCAAGCCTAGTATCTTTTTATTTCAACTTAATTTCTTTTTAATTTTGCACATTTGTTTTTTTTTATTTTGACCATTCTTTTTATTTTATTTATTTTAATCCAGTGACTGTGATATCATTGGACAATTTTGGGATTTTCAATTTAATTTATGGAGGTTTTAATTTAATTTATATCTTGGGATTATGTTTTTAATATTTCAGAAATTAAAAGAGGAGTCGTTTTAGGTCACTACTTCTTCTATCTGGGTTCTACAATTTTATGATTTTTAGAGAAATATCTGCATTTATTACGTGTAAAAAATGGGAATATGAAGTATGATAAAAAATATGAGAATTTGCAAACGTCCGCAACTTAACCGCGGCTTTTTTAATTTGTCTGCGGATGTTTTTCCAATGATGAAAAATTTAAATATGCAAAAATACGAAAAATAGAATTCTGTTGATGATATTCACAGGGTAAAATAACAAAGATTTGTTCTATTTGTTTAGTTCCGCGAAAACACGAATTTGCATAAACATGCACAGTCTACTTAATTCTTACTGGATTAACGATATTCGAAATGAAAAGATAATTTTAATATACACTCATATTAATATTTAAAATTGTTCTTTTATAAAACATAGATAATATAATTTATCACATTTTTCATTTAAATACATATTACGGCCTTAGTATTTAAATAAGTTCAAAAATTCTCATTATTACTACAACATAGTACCTACACATAGATTATGTTTTGATCAAATATAGAACTATACGAGCGCTATACGAGCACTATACGCTGCTTCGGAAATAAATCGTGCGTTACTTATGTCCTATATCTTTTCATCAGTATTTTTTCAAGGTAAAAACATTAAAAATAGATGGTTGCATTTAACAAGCGAGCGATATTTTATGCTTCCTTCTGTTCTATGCACTAATTTTCCTCGTCTTTTTGAATAATTTAAAATACGATAATAGTAAAAAAGCTGTCGTCAGGCCCGAGATATTCAGTTCGAATCCACTCGAATAAAATAGGGGAGTGTCGAATTAGAACTCTTGTGCGCCTTTTGTTACGTACAACCCCAGTCATATCCGCCATTCTCGCGTCTATTGTCACCTGACTCGAATGATTAACCCTTTGATGCTCGCTAAAATTACAGAAAGACTAAAAGTCTAATACTGACAATGAATGAACAGCACACAATGAATTAAGATTCTTCTATGTATGATAATTAGTAGACTGCGGTTTTTCTTGCAGTATTCATATTTTTTGAATATATAATTAGAAAAATAAAATGTTGGTAGAGTATCGTTCAGTGCATAGTAATATTTTTTCACATTATATGGATTATTCTTCGAATTAATATTTTACATAAAAATCCGCAATCTCGTACAGATTACCATGCGAAACTTATACGTTTTGCTTATAAAACAGAACTTAACTTTTACAAAATACAATATTTTATAATAAAAATATTCTCTAGTTACTCGTGTTATTCTAAAATTCTTCTGTTGATAGCACTCATTTTAATAATTTTAAAATATTCACAGGAATAAAAACGCCACTTTAATGACCATGGCAATCAACGTGTTAAAGTACTCCACTAAACACTGAGACTTTTTATAATAATATTGATATTCCATAGTATGGAACGTCAACAGTTTCAAACACTTTATCATGACATTCGAGCCTCATTAAAATGCTAATGAAATTTCAAAATGTGTTTCATGCAACACACATAAAATATTCATAGAATTCTGCACCTATTTACAAAATTTCGAATACTTTCATAAATCATACGAACTAAAGACTTGAATGTACAATAAATATAAAATATACCCGTTTGCATTAGCCGAGAATTTTTTACTTCTAGACTAACATGTGGAGGAAAGTAAGAGCACAACGAGGTTGTGCGGTTCCCAGAGGTCGAAGAGGTCATACTGCTTTAGTTCATCGTGGTCAGATGCTCATTTACGGTGGTTATCAAGATCTACGTGGAAGCTCTCCAGAATTGTGGGCATTTCATTTCGGTAAAAAATTCACGATTTTTTAATCACCAGACTGCGAATATGTATTTAGATTTACATTGTATATACGTATATTCTTACTTTTGCTTTATATTTAATTGAAATTTACTTTCATTCAATTTATCCTTTTAAATTTACTTCTTATTTTACATTTACTTTCAATTTACTTTCGAATTTATTTTAAATTTACTTAGACTTGCTCCGAGACCAATTTTTGCGTATTTTTTGGATCTATCAGTTCGTCATAAATGTATAAAAATTCGCAGTCTGTTAGTGGCATACATATTTCGAAAGACGAATGACGACACGACCGTTAATGTACGTTTTAGAAACGGAATCGTGGCATCTTCTTTCCTCCAGCGAAAGCGGGCCAGCAGCGAGACACAAACACTCGGCTGTTTTGCACGGTGATGCCATGTACATTTATGGGGGTATGACCGACCTACAAGAAAGAAGCGATTGTTGGCGATGGGATGTGAACACTGCCTCTTGGTGTTTATTGAAGAACAAACCAGGACCAGGACCTCTTCACGGACACGCAGCCTGCAGGCTTCCTAGCTGTATGCTAATTTTCGGTGGAGAAAGCGGTGGTTCAGCTACGAACGAACTCTGGAGGTTTCATTTCGGTAAAATATTAATATCCAAATATTAATGGGCCTTTCTTGCACAATAATTTATAACTAACACATTCATGGCCGAATTCTGGTATTAAAATCGGAGTAAATGTAAGAAAAGTTATTTAAAATTTAAATGTTAAATGTTCATTTTATATAATTCAAGTTTAATGTGTTTAAATTCACCGAATATATTTCTTTGAAAGGAATATAATAATTTTTATAAATTATAAATAGTACCAAAACTAACGATATTAATTATTAAGTTAATAATAGTAAAGAATTGACAAGTTATAAATTATGCAAACTGCTTCGAGAAATTAAAATCGGACTTCAAAAACATCTGACTTGTAAAATTTCGTTAACAATATTATATATAATAATCGTGCAAGAGGGCCCAAATCTATATATTTATAAAACAAAAAAGTACGAGATATAAACTTTGTCAAAAGGTACGGAAACGTGGGAGAAATTATCAGTGCCAGGTCCTAAGCCTCAGCCAAGAGCGGAAAGCGTTGCCCTAGCGGTTTCCGAACTGTTAATTCGAGGGACCAATATCGATAATTCGAAGCCAAAGCCAAGAAACCAGAGGATGAGACTTTGTAACAATAGGATATCACCGAATGAAGCACCAACTAGACCGAGCTTTCTTAAGGAAATTTCTAAGTTGTCCCAAATTAATCTATCACGGTTGAGTCATCCGACAAAGTGCAGCTATTCTGTTTTGAGCGGTCAGGATGATAACGAAGAAAGTCCTCAAGAGGTATATTTTCTTCTATATTTATACCTGCACGATTGTTCAAAAGTATTTGGACACTTGTCTCATATTTCATTTAAAAAATTTCTATTTTAAAAACATATTTTATTTAGATCATACAAATTTCAAGAACTTAATTTTATTTTGTACTTTACGTTTTATTCGATAAAGTGATTTCTTTTTTTTTTCTTTCTAATAATAAAATTAAATTGAATTGAAAAAATTCCAAAATTAAGTTGTACGATTTATATATTTCTACAAATTTTCCATAAACGCATAAAATTACGCGATCAATCCAGCAGTATATATTATACTTTGATCAAAAATTCAAATCCTGCTGCTACAGATCGATTGTCCAAATGCTTGCGAAAGGTAGTTCATTTTTTATTTATCTCTTCATGCTTTCATTATATGCACACGTATCGAAAGTTTTATACCTGCACATAAAACGCACATGTGACAAATGAGCCTGCCTGCAGGCGAATACGTATTATCCGTTTCAGCAAGTGGATTCGGAAGTTGTCGAACCATCGACCGGCATGGTGAAATCTCGGAGCGCAAACACGCTAGCCCGCAGAAGGCAGAAACCGCCGGAAACCACATATAAAAACGTGGACGTGAACAATTGCAACAACGCAACCGGTGGTTCCGGCATGACGAGAGATCCTATCTCGGTACCGAATTTCCGCGCCCTGACCTTACCCACTCCAGTCCTGACACCTGTAGAAGTAGCTAGGCTCGTTTTCGTCGATCCAGACGAAAATAGCGACAACGAGGAACGAAAGGAGCCTCCTACCTCTAGACTGATAGAAGTTCAAGAGGAAAGGCGGTAAGTGTACTTCTGAATCGCGATATACTCGCAGTAACGATAATCGTCCCATCCAAGTTTTTGACAAATTCGCTACACACGAGAGAATTTTATTTTTTATATAGAATCATTTCTTTCCTGATGAAACAATTGGCTAATTTTGTTAGCTAAAGTTAGATCAGTTTAACTTGGAAGTAATCTTGGAGGCGTAAACTTGGAAACGAGATCAGTCTGTCAACGACAGAAGTCGCTTTGTATCGAGTCTAAGTAATAATATCGTTTGTAACTGTTCATCAGTTCCATTCATAAGTATTGGAAGATCTGCGTTTGGCTATAACTGGAATTAAATGATACGCTAAATTTAAAGTAAGACACAGAGTCGGTCTAGTTTCACGTTCTATAACGCATACATAAACTTGTTGAATGTGGCTGAAAATAACACAATTGGTTTAAAGCCCCATTATTAAATAGACTTAAATAATTTTGCGACACTTAAAGTCAATCGTAAAAGTGTCCATTTATCGTTCAATTACCGTTCTTTTATTTATACGAAGTATATTTTTATATATCTGCAAGAGTATCTAAATACAACAACATATATACATAATGTATGTTTCATTACACAACAAAAATGTACGTGTAGAATACATACATAAAATATAGCATAGTATGTACTCAAAGAATATTTAATATTTATTTAATATTTGATAAATTGTGAATTTGTATTACATTTTTCTAACATCTTATCATCTTGCATTAACAACCTTCTTTGTCTATGTAGAATACTAAATTCCATCATATCTTCTTACGATTACGTAAACTTCCCTTTCGGAAGCAAATGTAACCACTGTTCTAATATTTTTGAGCAAAAGTAGCACATCTCTAAAATTCTCAAAACGCTCTCAACTCTTCCTTAAAACCTACAAAACTTTCATTTATCGATTTTACGCTCGCTAATATTGCACACTCACAGCGATAGATAACTAAAGACCTTCAAAAATTTCCAGGGATTTCGCAGCCGTGCATCAAGCCTGCCAACCAACACGGGGCGAAAGTTACAGTTCGCATCTCTACGAAGCTGCGCTTCAAACACCGAAGACGCCGACCACGTCAAAAATTCCTACGTCCGCGTCGGTTCGATTTGCCGATTTAGAAGAAGGCGAGGAGTCGACGTCAGATTACGCGAGCATAGAGGCCAGAAGTCCCGGTGATCCTCTCGCAGATGACGATTGGCCATCAGGACGAAAGAGCAAACAGTATCGCCCAATAATTACACCGTCAACGATACGCGAGGGTCAATTTGGCTTCTGTAATCCGAATTATCTCGGGCTGGATGAAACCAAGAGTCATCATCAGCAACAACAACCACCTCAGGATGGAAAGTACGCGAAATTATTGAACAGTCCACCAGACAGTGTTTTGGAGGACGAGCCAGGAAGATCAGCCTCGCAAACGTTCGCGGAACTATTAGAGCTTCAAGAAATCAAAAGGGTACCAAGAGCACCGCCTAAAAGTCTACCATTAGGTTCTCCGTCTAGAAGAGCAGTCAGTGCGTCAAGGGCTGAGAGGCAACGAGCTAAAGTTGCTGCAGCTGACATTAACGAAACTGAAACACCATCTTATGGGCCAGCACCATTGTACGTTTTTTTAGTCGGAGGGAAAGAGAAAGGTCAAGTGACGGTGTTCGCGAGACCGGTTTCTTTGTGGAAGTTACAACTAGCGCCACACATCTTTTAAAGATGATGAGTACGTTTGTTGATTTCATTCATTTCAGTGCAAATAGTTCCAAAGAACTGGGTGATCGATCTTCTTCGGAAAACTTCCCTGTTGTTTTTTTAAAGAGCAAACAGTCGATGAATGCGATTTTCTTAATGCCAAATAAGAACAACAGGGGAAGAATACGATAAGTCAAATTTCCTATTTTTTTATAGGGGAACAGTTTTGGTGTAAGACTCGTTATGGTGTCAATTAGTCTCGTATTGTCGAAATTGTCTTCTTATTTGGTCTTGGAAATTTTAGTATTATCGTTCGTCGTAGTGTTGAAATATTGACTGTCTTAATAATTGAATTAGTGGGTTAAAGAACAGTAATAAGTCCAAATTTTCAAGTATGGTTTTTAAATAAATAGTCTCTTTTTATTATTGTATTATTTTCTTTTAATTTTCTAACTAAAAGTACGATGAGTCCAGATTTTATCTTAATTATAATTATAATTAATTTGTGAACTTGACTTTATTCTTTCAAATATTTTAAAATATTCTTTTTGACTTTGTATTGTTCTTCAACTCAACAATTCAATCATATTTTTGGCTTCCACAAAACTTCGTCGCTATACTGACAATTTATAAAAATGTTTACATTTGTTTTATTTAGAATTATCATTTTAAAATCTATTTAATTATAAAGTAACATCAAAATTAAAAAATGAGTAAAAACGTGCTTATTATATTTTTCTCCTGTGATCTTCGAGTGTTATGTCATTGTAGTTGGTTATATTTAACATTAAGAACTTTCTCTTAATATTTTATTGCATTTATTATTAAAGATAATGTATTTGTTTCGTTGACATGCATTTAAATGTTCTTTAATAAGTTTTGTTGTAAAAGGTCTTCAGTCCTTCAGCATCATATGTTAAATATAATTTACAGTGCAATATCAAATGTGATTATTTATTTAAGAAGATTGTTGTACGATTTAAAAAGCAGACATATATAAAAACGTTCATACCAAAGCGCAAGTCAAACGCGAGTGAAGCGAAAAACCCTATGAATGCGTCCTGTCAGTCTTAAGTGGTATACAATAGAATGTTGTAAGAAATTTATGATTAAGATCGATATACGTTAGATCCTAGGTTTATCATAAATGATATAATTTTTCTATACTAGTAGATAGACGTGTAACACCGAGTACTTGGTCGTTCAAATTTTTTGACTTGAAATTTAAACGATATATGAAACAAGACAACATCAAAAGACTCGCCTGATCTGCGCTTAACTGCCATCGACTGTGAACATGATATACATAGAGAATAAACTAAAACTAATATTAATTTAATAAGTTCGAGGTGTAACGATCGACGTTTGAAACGTTAATTCTGAATATTAAATGGAAATCGATGTGTGGTTGTGTTCAAATGTGAATAATTAAAGTACGTTTCGATTATTCTGTGGAAATTAGATTTTTATAAAACAAAAAGATGACTCTAAATGGAATATCTTGTGAATTAAAGTAGAATCTAAAGAAATTAATTACCAACTATGTTTTCGTTTTCAATTTTATCATGATAGAAGAGATTTCTAACGCGCGAAACGTACAATCGTATATTAAAAAAAAATAAAAAAAAAGAAGAATTGTGTTCCAAAATGTTTTAACGAATATAAAGCAAAAAAGTCAAAAAGTCTCCGCTATGACTATACTTATGATGGTAGCGTATCATAGATCCGGTGTATGTATTATAAGCAAAAGAAATGATAAAATATGAGAGGTCTCTCTTGTTCATGTAGAGTTTTTATGCCCACAAAGGCCCCATACATGTAATCCATCCATATAGTAGTAAGGTGAACGTGGAACCTCATAGGCTGAATATTAAAACATAATTTTTGAAGATACAATAACAATAATTTTTAATTTTGAGAATACGTAGAAATAAAAAAATTTATTTGACTCAGTTAATTTTATGTGCAGAAAATTTTTAATTATTAATGAAGCTACATTTAATTAAAGGACAATGTGTATAGATGCATATTAATCACAGAAGTCTACGTACGTATTTGTCAAATTTTGTATATTTAAATAATATTATTGGCTATAATAATTTGATGATTATAACAATTTATTCATTTCTTCTTTTAATAAAATTAATAAAATTAATTTATTTATTTTATTGTTGCAAGACTAGCAATAAATTAAAATAAATTAAAAATGAACACACATATATATATACTTCAATATATTCATGATAATTCATGATAATTGAAGTAGACTTTGTGACGTTTTGTTGCGATTTATTTATGATTTCCAGTAAAAGAATTTAAAAAACGTCATCATTTCTTTATTATTATTGTTAATTTTAATGGATATATAATTAGTCCCTATAGAATCCTTGCTTTTCTTCAAATATTTGAAATTTGCAAATGTACAAATACTGACTGAATTAATCACTCTATTTAGTAAGAATATCCAGCAATATTCAGCTAGAGGCCGCAAGCACTCGAAAGATTAATGTTTTCCATTCGTAGCACTAGTCAATTCTACATTTCATGATCAGTGTACAAACGTTAAGATAAATGTTTCGTGATGTCATTTCTCTTCTAGAAAATCCCTAGCCTACTGTTTGTTAATTTTCAGATATGCATACTAGTATGTACAGTATTAATCCATTTTTGCGTTACATGCATAATCGTTCTCATGATCTTGACCACTTTGACAAGCGATCATAGTTAATTAACTAATCGTACGAAGTATACACGCTAGTATACCGCATACGAACTTTCGATTTGTCCTACGTACATGTTCCATATTTGAGACGAGTTCAAACGATTTCGTACGGTGCAATTTAGTTTAACGAATAAAGAAATTTCACGAGTTTCAAATGAAAGTGAAAGCGATGCAGCGTGTATTCGAAATAATTAACGTCCGCATCACTATTGTTTTTCAGTTGTATGTATGCACAACGCAGTCTGATAGTCAATTATGACCGTGTCATTAAATATGTCCGTTGCCAAATGATATTTCACTTTAAAATGTCATGCTCGTTAAACGAGATTGTCAGAGTATAAGCTCGAAGACGTGGGTCAATCCCGAAAGAAAAAAAAAAAAAAGTTAAAAAGGAAAACGAATAACAATGTAGCTGATTTGAGTGCCTGTAATTTCAATGCGGATATATGCATTTCATATTTTTCTGGACACGAAACGATTTTTCGGAAAAGAAAAAAAATTCACTGTGTTGTCTTCTGGCTTATGCTTCTCTTCGAAAGTTACCAGTGACTACCTGTCGTACGAGGTAGATGGAAATAATAAAAAAGCGGTATTACGATATAGTATGTCGATAAAAGTGGAAATAAATCGCGTGTTGTTCCAGTCGAATTTCATATCACAGAACGCAGTATTTTTTCAACGAGTAAGCCTTGAAAGCAGATGACCCGCACTCTGATTTTTCTATGTTAAATGTCAGACAATATATGTATATTATATGTACATCTATTTATATGTCCCCATCTAAATGAATAGCTATGAGGATTAACACCATTTTGTAAATATGGTGATGAAAGTGGTCGTGTAAGTTATCAACATCTGTCCAACGTATTAAAAATTTTATTAATTATTAGCGTTCAAGCTAAGTTATAAATTAATGTATAATGAATAGCTAGATTTTTGTCTAAATCGTTAAGTTTTATTTTAACACAACAAATGTATCTACCTTATTTGCATTCGAGTTTATGTATGTAACTATTAATCGTAAATACCATAATCAGATTATGGTGTTTATATAGTTTGATAAAATGAAATACAATAATTTAGTATCAACTACACATTTTAGTTTATATTTAAAAAACCAATAAAGTGTGAAATGCTTTCTAGTTAGCTCAAAGGCTAATGTTCTGTTAATTGCATAACAGATCATACACTCACATCTTTATTTCACATACATTCGCACTATACAATTATTTCTACCCTAATATAATGGTGATATTAAGCTCGAATAACAATTGCGGATCATTATGCATTTATGGAAAATTTAAGAGTACAAAAATGCAGAGAATATATACAAGAAAAATACTTGTTATAATATTATTAGCTTTATGTAAATTATATCTATGCAAAATATCAAATTTTCTATCTATCAAACTTTCTTTGTTAATAGCAGAAAGAAATTTTTACTTAATCTTCATTTTTTTAACTTTGTTTATAAAAGGATGAAATTGCATAAGAATCCACAATCTATTAATGACAGATCACAATAGTCTTATCACCATATGATTGGCAGCTCTGCCTTTGAGATAACTAGCAAAAGAATCACCCTATATATTATATCTTCCATCTTATCTAAAGTCCAAGAAATTAAATTAAAGTATCTCGTAGCATTGACTAAGCACAGAATAGACATGACATTCAATGCTTTTTCATGTTCTATATTCTCATTTTCATTTCATTTTACATACAATATTATCGATTCAAAATAATAGTGATTTTATGAACACTCTACTTGAAAATTAATGTCAGAATAAATAAATCTTTTGTTACAAGTTAATTCATCTTTGCTTTGCAAAACTTTTCGTTTTCAATAGTTCGAAAATAAAGATTTTTCGATGATTGAAAACCTATCCTAAACTAATAAATAAAATACGGAAAAGAAAATATTCACAGATAATAAATACTATGCTTGTCAATTCTACGTAATATAACAATCCCGGCATTTCATCCTACAATCATTGAGTAATCAAAAGAACAAAAATGTATAAGACTTACAATTATCTGCGAAAAACGTTGTCATCAATGTAGTTGTGACTCAAACCATCATCAAGCTCGTCATTAAATAGGAATCGTCAAATTTCATGAAAGAGGTAACAGTTAAAAGGAACCTGTAAAGAAACAGAAAATTATAATTTGTTTTTAAAGATAGGGTTATGATAATATTCAATTCAAGGATGAAAAGTTTAAACTTAATTTTCAATCAGGTTCTACCTTTTAATCAATAATAATTAATATAAAATACAAGGAATAAAATTAAATAAAATGCGATTAAAGATTTCAACGTGCTTCATATTATATAAATTAAATATGGCGCATGGTTTATCGGTTAAGTAAAGCTGCGCAATATTCAAATAACACGATGCGCAGAACCTGATTTTCAAACTTGACCGTAACATTGTTAACAATTAATTAATTACAAAATACATGTTAAAATCTAATAAAAAAAGAAAACGAATATAAATATATTTGTCTTGCCACTATATAAATATGTCTGCCTATTAAAACAGAATGTAAATACATCTGTCTTACCACATCTTCAGATGGCGTCGTTTTGAATTTCGCGTTCCCTCAATACTTCGAATTTTTCAACATCAACCAACAATCTGTACAAAAGAAAATACAAATTTTTAAATAAATGATAATGATTAAAGATAATAAATGGATGAAGAAACAAATAATATAAGAATAATATCAAAATCAACATTTTGAAAACTCATAATACAAACTATCAATAAACACTACAGCCAAAAAATAAATCAGAATTGTTACATTATTGTAATAGTATTTGATAAATTGTATAAAAACGTACGTTAAGTAAACGGTGTTAAGTAATACTAAAATGGTTCTGAATAACGAAAAATGATGAAATATCACGCACTTAAATAAATATCAACGCGGCACTAGATCCTCACTCTACAATATTTGGTAATAGACTGACCCTTGCGCAACAGGTTCGCGTCGTCATTGGTAGGATGGGGTATCCAATGAAAATATTTCCGTGGTATAAACTGAAACATAAATATCTATGTAAGCATACAAGCGCTAATTTTGGAAAGAAAATTAATTGAATTAATGAATATAGAATACAATTATAGAATATAATTATATATTTTAGTGGAAAATTTTTATTATTTCAATTGTGTTAAATTCATTTTACAAAAATTTCCATACCGTGCTCTTTCACGAAAATATTCGAACATTCGAAAAATCCTTTTACGATTACATTCTATATTAATTTCTAATCAACATCGATAATTGGACTGAATATTTTTTAAATTAAATAATGCTTTTTGTTTTGAATCCTAGATATATTTTACCTGAGCAGTTTTAAATAATACTTCATTTTGTTGCGTTTCCCGCCAAAAACTTACGTTTCTATAATACATTCAAATCTTATATATCGATTGAATCTTGATATAGCAAATTATAATAATACTATTATTTTTTTTTTTCTCAAGACGAATATTTCATAACGCAAGACACGAAATTCTATAAAATATCATGTTTTTAATCAATGTTTATTATCCAAAGGACTATTACCAACAGTCTATTACCAATCGTTTATAATGAAAATTCTTCTTCTTTGAAAAAAATGTCTCTAGAATATGACGCCAAAGCATCGCGCTAAATCAGTCGATGATGGCGTCAAGAGAATGTAAATAGTTAATTAAGACAGTGTATTCTTTTATAAAAAATTTATACTTGTTTTGTTTTTAATGTGCCGAAAATCATTTAAATATCTTATTTAACATTTGACCAACAAATTTTGCACTTAGATTTGATCTCATTTATTTTTACAAACGAAAATGGATCAAGATAATTGTTCACTAACGTGTTCTGTTACAATCGAGAGAACTAATTCACAAGGTTCGATTTTAAAGAAGGCGAATCATCGGACAGCAACTTTACGTTTAGTCAGAAATAATCTTCGTGAAATGTTTATTGAAGTACGCGCAGAGAAAGCAAATTTATTGACAAAGCTAATGTTGAAATCTATATCTGTTTTCAATAAATTTATGACCGAAGGTAAAGCTTCTATCAAGTTTAAAGAAGAGAATTGCACACTGTTTCTGTCAAATGCACCGACAGCGCAACTAATCAATTTTTTGAAAACGATATACATTAAAATTTCGGGCAACTCGGATCAAGTAGGGAAAAATCTATTAAGAGAAAGACTTCTTTCTAACAAACCGATCGGCGAGCATCAAGAAATTAGTCCTGCTACAAGTGCTGAAATAAATAAAGCGAAAGAAAAAGCTATCGCTATATCACGTGCAACAATAACGACACCATCTCCTAGCGTTGTTAAAAAGAGGAAACGATCGAATGAAAATTCATCGAAGTCATCTACTGCAAGGAAACTATACGAGAATCCAACCGCAGGAGAAATTAATGAAGAACAAAGTAGAATTCTCGATGCAGTTATTAGCGGTAAAAATGTATTTTTTACTGGTAGCGCAGGTACTGGAAAGTCATTTTTGTTAAAAAAGATAATAGCTGCTCTCCCTCCTGATGTCACGGTAGCTACAGCAAGCACAGGAGTAGCAGCATGCCACATAGGTGGTATAACTTTGCATCAATTTGCTGGAATTGGATTAGGAACCGCGAATTTAGACAGGTGCTTTCAAATGGCTTCACGTAATTCCTCTGCAACTGCATGGAGAAAAACAAAACATTTAATTATAGATGAAATTTCTATGGTTGATGGGGACTATTTTGATAAGATTGAAGCTGTTGCTAGACATATTCGAAAGAACGAAAGACCATTTGGTGGAATACAATTGATATTGTGTGGAGATTTCTTCCAATTACCACCAGTCTCAAAAGAAAACAAAGCAAAGTTCTGTTTTCAAAGTAATGCATGGAAAAATTGCATACATTTTAATTTTGAGTTGCAAACTGTTCATAGACAAAAAGATCCTGAGTTTATTAAGATCTTAAACAATATTAGAATAGGTAGAGTGACAAATGAAATTGCAGAAAAGCTTAAATCAACAGCTAAACAGAAAATAGAAAGTAATGGCATTTTAGCAACAAGACTTTGTTCTCATGTAAACGAAGCTGAAGAAATCAATCAATTTCAATTGAATGAGTTAAAAGGTGAATCTAAAACTTATATAGCCCAAGATTCTGACCAGTCAATGACTGCCACATTGAATCAACAATTAACTGTTCCTGATAAGTTAATATTAAAAGTAGGTGCTCAAGTAATGCTATTAAAAAATATAAATATTGCAAGTGGTTTAGTAAATGGTGCAAGGGGCATAGTTATTAAATTTGCAGAAAATGTACCTGTAGTTCAGTTTAAATCAGGCTTCCAATATCATGCAAAATTAGAAAAGTGGAATTTAAAAACAAATACAGGAAGTATTATTCATAGGATACAAATTCCATTAAAATTAGCATGGGCTTTCTCCATTCATAAAAGTCAAGGTTTAACTTTAGACTGTGTTGAGATGTGTCTTACAAGAGTTTTTAATGCTGGTCAGTCATATGTGGCTCTTTCAAGAGCACAAAGTTTACAATGTTTAAGAGTTTTAGATTTTGATAACAAGCAAGTATGGGCTCATTCAGATGTGCTTATGTTTTATAAAAAATTTAGAAGAAATTTACAAGAAATGGAAATGATTCCTTTAGGAAAGAAGCAAAAAATATAATTAGATGATATAAATTAAATATATAGATGTATAAATATAAATATATAAATAATATAGATATATAAAATATAATCATATATTTTTGATGAAACATTTATTTCATCAAAAAATAATAAGCAAATTTCTTTTAATAGTTTATTAAAAAAAGTAAAAGTTTCTAAATTTTATTGCGTACAATAATAACAACAAAGCATAAATATACTTCATTTTTCTTCCTGTTTAATAAATGTTACAAAATCACGCATTTAATCGTCAACAGTTATTTCTATTGGTGGTATATAACGCCACGTGTGTCCAGCGTTTATTAACTCTGAACACACAACTGGTATATTTGGAGTTGACTCTTTACTACTACATTGAATATCAATTTTATATTGACCAGTTGTAAAGAATACTACACGACATTCGTGATAAACTCTTCCATACTCCTGCAACTAAAGAAAAAGATAAAAATAAAATCAAAAGAAAAACGATTATTAGAATACTGTATTATTATTATGACAACACTTTTAGTGATAAAATAACTTACTGCTGGAAGCATGACTTTGTTTGCACCAGCGATGGATAATCTCGTTTCTAATTGATAATTATTTACACCATTGTGATGATCTTGATAAAAATTGATAGATAACATAAGATCGCTCAATGGACGTTCTAAAGCATTGCATATCCCTATTCCAACACTAACGCATTCACCTAAATTACATGTAAGTTCGTCTTGAGCCTTTACAACTGCGTCATTTATTTTTATCTCTGAAAAGCATTTATTAATTTAATAATTATTAACGATAATTATATAACGATAATTTAATAATTATTAACGATAATTATATAACAATTATACATACCCCACTGTAAAGGACTCATTCTAACAAGATCCAACATATCTTGAGTAAGGGTAATACCAGAGAGAGTTGCTTTACCAATCGATTCTGTACCTAATAATTGCCAACGTAAATCAACTAATGAAGCAATATGTTCCGAGCAAACTTTCTGAAGCTCTCCGATATCACCTGCCCCGTTTAACTATTAATAAAATACAAAACAGTATATTTATATATCTTTAATTATAAAGTGTACAAAATTACCATTGATAATTTATTAAGTGGACATCGATCAACTGGCACAGGTATTCTACAAGGTTCTTTACCCTCCATGTATATACATTTAGTTTGTGTGTAATGCAATTCCATTTCGTGATTAGTCATATTTGTTAAATCTAATACGAGGTAAAATTGGGACGGTCTGAAATAACACGTATTTAAATTGAAATGCAATGGCATATTTTGTTAAATTATAATACTTACGTTTCTGCTGGAAGCACATCCCAATTTGTAATTTGCACGCTAGGTAACATTTCAATTGTAACAAAAACTGACGAGATGCGACAATAGCCTGCCGTTAGACCTGCGCCACCCGAATACTTTATTTTTAGTTGCCCTTCGACAACATTTGATGTATGTAACGGAACTGCAAGCTTAGATAAACGCGAACTCGCCAAGGAAGAACGTCCAGAATGAGAACTTAAACCTGATCTGAATGAGGAAGTTAATTCCGATTGTCTCTTTGTATGCGACGGGGAACTTAATCTAGAGGGTAATGAACTGTGTCCTGAATGAGACATTAAACTGCTCGGTTGACTGAGATATGTACTGCTGCTAACATCTAAATGATATTTAAGAATATTTATTACACTGTCATTATTGAAGAAAGAAAAAAGGAATAAAAACAATGGATGTTACCGTTTCGAGAGGTAGGTGCTATAAAATCTGTAGCTGCATACAAATACAAGGTAAGGCTGGCACTAGCACCAGCTTGTAACGGTAATTGTGCCATTAAATTTTCATCACTCCATTTAAATATTTTACTTTCCAATACTGTGTCTAACGTTGACTGTATTGATAGTTCAATTGTTTCAATAGGAACTTGGCCACTATTTGTAATTGTTACAGTACATTCAGCACTACAATACAGAAATTGCTACTAAGCTTTAATAAGAAAAAATTATATATTTGATATATTTATTCATAATAGATTATACCTTTCTCCACCATATAGTGATATACTTGCACTAGTTACTATATTATCTCCAGAGCTAAAGCTTGCAGTTTGAGGCAAACTTGTAGCTACTTCTATTCTCGGTAAAGCTGGAACTACTTCGACAGTATATTGAGAGTGAATCATTCCTTCCATATATCTTAATCTACAATTTGATTTCACTCCTAATGTATGTGTACTAAAGCCAAGAATTTCTAAATCTCCAACTTCTTTAGGCCTGCCTGCTAATGTTACCGCAATCGGTCCTGATTCAGCAGGAAGTGTAATGCTTTCAGGAATTGATTCGAATACTACGCCATTTGTAAGAAGTCTCATATTGGACACATGAAGTTCAAACGGTAAGGGATTAATAAGTTGCATTGATACCTCGCAAATATCGCCTTCTACCCATAAATAATCTATAATCATTATGTACATATTATAAGCCAAATTATATTTTATATTATAATATAAATAATATTTGTAAATAATGCGTAATTGATACGCATGAACATACCAACTTTGCTCTTAGATATATTCTTTCTCTCTAATGATCCAAAATTAATTGGCGTAAATAAAAACGGACCATGATCTTCTTTAGCTCTCTCAATTTTTTGAGGTTGAAGATGTGGTTGCATATTTTTTAAAATAAATGATTTGGTCTTTGGAATATTCGTTAAATTAGCAGGCGGTATAACTGTTCCAGAATCTAAAACCTATTCAAAATAATCCTATTGTCAATATTGAAAATGTTATGCTTAATATTTTAATAAAACTTACGAGAGGTACGGGAGCGCCTTCGCATTGTTGAGACACGTTTTGAAGTTGCAAAGCAGTTTCTTTCCGTTCATTAGGAGTTAAATAATTGTACATTGTTTGAAGTAAAAATGTCATGTGCCTTGTTGACAATGCTGGATTACCCATGCGATTAGCAGCAGTAACAAGTTCATTTATCACTTGAATTTGAATAACTGGCCAACCTCTGTGGTTTTCTATAATAAATCAAATAAATTTAATAAAATCTTGAAGTTACAACACCAAAAATTATTATGTTGTAAAAAAAAAATTACCAGGAGACATCTCAACAGGATCTAAGGACAATTTAAATCCAGAAGTAGCTTGTAACATTAAATTATAACATTGTTGCCAATCTGGATTAGGATTATTTTGAGATACATGTCTTGCTGCAGCAAATCTTAGGCAAAAGGATGCTTTTCTTATAAAACCAAAACTTGTGTACAAATCCGATAATGTAGTAAACCGATCTATCTAAAATATTGTAGAAATATTTGTTATTCTGATATTTAATAAATTAATAACATTCATAAATAAATTACATACTTTTTCTTGTTCACTTAGTGACAAGTTTATAAGTATGACATTACTTAAATATGAAGCAGCTTGCAAAGTACAATTTTGCTCTATTGAAATTCTTGTAGCTTTGAAACTAGCTTCTGTTTCAATTATTCCAGCATATTGATATTTGCTATAATGTACTATTGCCTCACGATATTTCTTTGATATTTCTTCAGGTAGTAAAATATGTGGCATATTACTCTTTATCACTTCTATAGCTGGTGGTGATGGTAAAGTTGCCACAGCTTGTGAACCTCTTCTAAGTGTAATAAAATATTATCTATTCTTTATCCAAAATATCAAATTTCCACATTTTATGTTATTTTATTCTATACATACCTCTGCTTACCTGGACTTCCTTCTTGAAGAGAGGAATTTCTTTGCAATGGAAGACTTCTACACATATTTGGATATAACACTAAAGCTGATGCAGCGCATAAACCTTCAAATGCTGCTCCTAGCCACAGCCAATCATTTACAGCTTGTAACACACTGGCTGCAGAATTGTAATTGCTCAAAGCATCTGCTGGTAGACCAGCTTGAAGACATAAATCACCCAAATGTTTTGTCATTCTACCTACACATCTCTTTTTATTATTTCTTGACTCAAGGTCCAATCCTATGAAATCTTTCTTTTCAAAAGGTGCTAATAAAAGAGAGACCCTATCTATTTTTTCTCTTGATCTTTCTAATCTTTTAGATTCCAAAATCCAGAATAAGGAATTGAGACATTCCATTACATGAGTCTCAAGATCAAGGCATGTTTCATCTGCATAAAACACAGCTCTAGTTTTAAAGTTTGAGGGTGTGCTAAATAATGCTGGTGGCTCGTGAACAGTATTTGATTCTTCTGGCCCAAAAAGAATAGAACGTGAATCGTACAGTGTTGCGCTATACTTTACTTTTAAAGTCTCGTGAACTCTGCACAACTCATTCAACTCCACTTGATTGTCATATTTGCCAAATGTAATTAATCCTAATAATCTCCTGTGGGTTTGAAAATCTCCCCAATCATTATTTTCAACGGGATGTTCTCTAACAAATCTAGCAAGAATTTCACGTGTTCCACCAGTAGAATCGGCCACAGAGAATCTGCTGCCTGTCTTAATTATTCGTTCACATAACCTGGTAACAGTCTTTTGTTTGATTTGTGTACCAATAGGTCTCAAAAGTAGAAGCAATGCTGCATGATCATGAGCAGTCTGCTCGTAATCAGGATGAGACATCTTGTTGTCGGGTACCGGACTCGACAAAATAACGCTAATAGCCGAGCGCATTTATATCACTCACTATCTAATAGTACTTTACGGTACCTAGATTGACATTGATGGTAACTTTTCTTATGGCATTACAGATATATAACAATTCTTTCATGCTGATATCTAAAATTACATTTACTTTAATAATTGTTGTCCTAGACTAACAGAAACGAGAAATAAAACAAAAACTGCCATGTTTGAAACAGATCAAATGCGCGTGCGTTACACTTATACATATATGTATGTGTTAACATTGAGTGTTAGTAATCATACGCGAACAAAACTTGTTAAAAAATGTTAAATAAGAATATAAAGGATAAAAGGAAATAAGGTAAACTATAAATATTATATTCGTGACTTTAAATTTTGGCATAAATTTTATTCAAAATTTGTGTATATTTTATCTTAATACATAATTTACATTGTACAGAATTGGCACACATAAATAACGATACGAAATATTTTATTTTTACCTAAAATATTTATCAATATATAAAATTAGATATGATGAAATATTGTAATCAAAACAGAGATAAAAAAATATAAGATCAAAATGATATGTAGCTTATAATGTAGAAATTGCTTAAATGTGTGCAAATATAAAGTTATATAATTAAGCGTAATTCTTAGCTAACTTGAATTGTTAAGAAAAAAATGAACTATTCTTTTAAATGAATAACAGAGATATAATATTTTTACTTAAACAACAATGATACCCTGAATCTAATTACATAATAATAAATAATGATTTGCAAATAATTTGTAAATATTAAAATTAATAAACATTAAATGTTTATGTATTAGATATTAATATGTAAATATAAAGATTTAAATGCGTCTATATATATATATATATATATATATATATATATATATATGTACTTTTTATATATATATCTATGATAAACAATGAAAAATTCCAACTATTTTTATTAACTTTTTAGTTAAAAAATTGAATCATAACTGTTATAATGATATTTTTTCGTCAGTGGAAATATAATCTCACTACTATACCTGGTTTATGTATGGTAGTTGTAATGTGAAAAATTACATGTATATCTTCAAAAGATTAAAATATAAAATCGATTTCAAACTACAAGTTAAAGACTATTTTAAACATCTGGCACAGAATGATCCATCATTGTTTTCAATAAACTGTTGTTCATTCTGAAACAAAATTATTTCTATTAAAAATTTGCGATTTGTAATAGTTAGATATAATATTATATATGTACTAACAGAAACATACTTTTTAATCATGTGATCAAAAATGTACGATGGAATAACCGTCACCGTAATTATATTTCCGCCTTTTTCAATCTCTGACGTGATTTCTTTATCTTTTAATCCTATAACATTCTAAATCATTTTACAAGATGAGACGTGTATGTATTTCTCAAATTGATTAAATTAAATATAAATTTACTATGTCATAACAAACCTTTCCATTGATTTCTAATATTTGATGATCTGTTAAAAGTCCATTTCTAGCAGCTGAAGAATCTTTAACTAAAGCAATTATTTTTCCATTTTTGAACTGAAATCCAATATATCCCACACTATCTTTATGCATTGTTATTGTGCGTTCAAATGGTCTGTAATGGACAAAATTAAAATGATAATACAGTAAAATTATAAACAATTAAAAAGAATGTAACTTTTATGCAATCTGTTTGACATTAAATAACTAACCTGTCTCTTACTATTACTCTAATACCATTAATATCAGCATTTCTGAATATTTTGTGAACTTGATCCATTGTATATCCAGCAACAGAAACATCATTGATACTCAAAATTTGATCTCCAAATCTTAATCCGGCAAGTGCAGCAGGTGAATTTTGGCTTACCAAGCATACAAAAATGCCATTATTTACAGCATGCACTCTTAACCCTACTTTACCATCTTTATCTTTGCATAGTATCAACTGATAAGATAAATAATTCCAGTAAATATCTTTTCAAAATATATGATATTAATTTTATTGAATTATAATATATGGAAAAATACTTACTTCTCTTATACCATTAGTAACTTGTGCTCTCTGTAATCCTAAAGATTGGCCAGACAATGGTGCAACCATACCTGCTAAAGGACTTGAAGTTGCAGGCACACTTACTGTCATCTGAAATATAGATTAATATATTCATTTTCCTTTAAGTTAATTAAACTATAAGATAGTTCAATTTGTATATCACTTACGTTATGGTTCACAAGAGAATATTCAGGCATATTTTTTGCTATCACTTCTTCAGTAAGTTCTAAACCCATATAGTCTCCTAAGGAAGGATATAATGCACTAGAAAAGGCATTATAAACAGGTGCAGATGGATTGGTTTGTTCTTGTGCTATAGGTGGAACATTATATTGTGACTCTGTTTGTATTTGAGCCTACAAATACAATATAAATATATATACACATAATATATAATATATGGAATAATATGAATAAACTTAGTTAAAAGTAATATATGAAATAATATGAATAACTTATAGTTAAAAGTAAAGTTCAATCTTACCTTTATCATATGATCTACTTTTAAATCTTCGAGAGTTGGATATAGAGACATTTTGCATAGATTCTTCTGGAACTATAAGTAAGATATGTTTTTAAAGAATGATTTGTTGACTGGAAATTAAAGCAATAATATACACTAATATAAAATTATTTATTGCAATTTATAACAATGACAGTATAAATAAAATAAAAACAAATAAAATACAGCAAGTATTCAATGATAATATATATAATATTCTAATTCAATAGATAACTCATCCGCATACCAATGTGATGAATGTATTGGATTAGAACTGGCACGAATGTTTACACCTAGATTTAAGTTCAAATATTATATCTTTAGTATAATGTGAAGTTAATATGATATGAAGACGCTCTTACCGCAATGTACAAAATCCAATGTTTTACTGCAGTTTAGGCGAAAAGAACAAAGTTATATATACGTCTTAGACGTCACGAAAGATACTTGAAGTATCATTGATAAGTCACAAGTGATGAACAAAACACTGCTGCCGGTGGGTTGTGTCAACGTCAGTTCTGTAATGCAATTTATTGATTGGTTCATATCGTTGTATATAGTGTGCAAGTACAAGCCAGCTATTGGATTGCTAGTATCCTCACGTGCCATTACGTGTACTCATCCAATTTTATTCACCAATCGTCTTCTACATTCTCTTGTAACCGCGCGAAAGTGCTTCTATTTAAAAATTCATCTATAATATCCATCATTTCATTAATAAATTCAACTCAAAAAAATCATTCGTCATGATATACCTTAACAAATGTCGGTAGAATATTAACATTTTTGCAAATTAACATATTAACATATTAACAAATTGTTAAATAACAGATACATAAACGCGCTTCATTAAATTATACAACATTTACACTGCAATAATCATATAATTCCATAAAATACGAGTACAAAAAGTCATATGGTATAATTATTAGATATCCATGATATAATTTTGTATTAAATTATACTGAAACCTAAAATCAGTACAAAGAAGTTTATGTTTGAAGGATATGCAAAATTTGTAGAATTTTTCAAAAAATGACACATAGAATTAATTATATATTTATCGATCGATTGATATATATTTGGTGTGGCTAAAGAGGAACTAAGAACAGCAAAAATGCATGGTTGGCTTCGACTTCGGTTGACAAGTTAAAGAGGGAATTATACAAGGTGGGGGAAAATAGAATACGGTAGGGGAACAGCGGATTGTCCGCTAATACGTAGGTAGTATTCAATGGTGAGGCTTCCGTGCGGGCCATAGTGAACCAACAGGTGTGTTGAGTCCGAACTTGGTCGCGGTACTGGTTACCTTCATTTTCTGTTAGTGTTCACATTTCCACCGGTGTCTCTCTCACTAACAAATATACGTCGTGGTATATTTGCCGTGAAAAATATAATATGATGTCGGAGACCGTTGTGACGATGGATGGTTCCAGCAACAACGCCAGCAACAATCCTCGACAGGTACCCACCGTGAAGACGGAACCGGTTCAACCTAACCCTCTATCGGGCATTACATTGAATGTGTCCTACTTCAGAACGATACCCGGTATCATTAAAATTATACAAGCGGTAAGTATCGATCATTGATCTTCTTCCGATTGCAATATAAAAAATTAATTAAACAATTATGATTAAATATCATTATTAATTAAATACAAGTGCGCAGTGCTGTTTGTAATCTAGAATAGTTGTACAATCACAATGATTGATCAGTGATAAATTTTTTATGCGTGAACAACATTATAAAATGAGTGTATCATAAAATTTATCGCATCAAGTAATTCAATTCTTATATATTCGTATATTTTTTAAACAGTATGATAGATACTATTACTATTACGTAACTGATTCTACAATACATTTATCTCGATAAAAATAGAATAACACATATTAGACGCATGTTTGTTCTACGTTTCAGAGATACATGTATTATTTGTCTCGCGTCAAATCATATATCATGTTTTCCAAACGGTATTACGAAAGTGAGAACAGCACTGTTTTTTAGGTTGACAATGAGTTTTATTTTTTGCGATGTCGCTAATCTCATTGGATTTTGGCAAACATTCATCATCGCTTTGGCGCTACGATCCTTCGTATCTTTTGCACTATATTGTTATTTTAAACATGTATGTTTTTCAACGTTGCGCAATTTTTCCATCTGCTAAACGCGATATATTTTTGCGTGTAATAAAGAGATTCGAAAAGTAAGAGAACATATGTGTAGCTTTTATATTTGCACCGTGACGCTGCAACAGCATAACTGCGTAACGGTAATCTCCTCTCACGGAACGATTAACAAACTATCCTGGAAGAGAAATAATAATTTTCGTTTACAAAATCGGAATGTTAAATATTAATTGCATATGTATATGAGAAAGAGCTTTCTACTTTTTTACAGTTCTGAAATCTTACATTGTTATCATATTCATTATTTCATTTTGGAGTTCAATATATATGTTTCCGCCCTTTTCATTAAAGACTATTACTATTGACAAAATATTAATACACTGAAATGTATTAAATGTATTTTTTCCGATCACAATTCTATAATCTTTAATACTGGTTACATCTTTGGTTTCTACAAGATTTCCTTGAATCTTTGAATCTAACAAATTTATATCTAGTTATAGACATTAAACTTAAGAAATCAAAATGTAAGAAAACAAAAATGTACTTGCTACTTTTGGTTTTTCCGGCTGCGTGATGGATTCGCCATCAAAATCGGCGGTACCGTTAAGTGATCAGCATCGTTTCTCTTTGGTTCACGCACGTGCAGTCAGAGACACGCCCGGTGACGCTTTCCGGTTTATATTCGCTTGTAAATAAAGGTGCGTTGCTTTCGATTGGTGGAAATAGACGAGCTAATTTATCTTGTAAAATATAAGAAATGTGATAAATCCCGATTTTGTAACAGTCCGATTGAATTACAGACAGATAGAAATTAAATATACTACTATACTATTTATTTCACGAGATTTTTTCTATCCTTGAATTACATTTGTCGATACAAAAGTGTGTTATCGATTGCATGTTGTTATGTAAAGCATATCATAAATCATATCATAAATCTCGTATAATTACTAATTTTGTGAATTAAAGACACTATTCACTGTTCGCGACTAAAATATAAATAAAATTTAAGCAGAATTTTATTTCATTCACAAATTTTAGATATTTTTCTCAATCTTTATTCGGTGTATTTTATGTTTAAATTTTATGTTTAAATTTCCCATAAATTTTAAGCAGAAATTTATTCTGTATATTTTTGCATTTTTCATGCATTTCATGCATTTTCGTATGTTTAAATTTCTCATAAATATCCAGGGTTTAAAAATTAATCTTATATCAGACTCCAAAGATACGATTCCAAGTTTTATGGAAATACGTTAAATACTGAAGAGATCAAAAAAAAGCAAATCTGCGAATATCAATGACGTTACGATAGAGGAGAACCGGTTTTTATTAAAATTGATGATCGTGCGTGATTGACCAAAGTCTTGGAATGATTCCCGGTCGGTGGCATAGTTTCGATGCGCTCAACACACGTCCCTATGAACTAGACACACGTTCGATGACCATACATGTTCATCCCGATGACCGGGACCATACGTGGCGTCCCACATACTCGCAGTTCCATCCTACTGCCATACGTCGAGGCCGTACCAACGGTATCGGAACGATTCATTAAAAATTCATGCCTGTCCTTGACTTTTTCTCCAATAATTTTCGTTCTTCTTTCGTTCTTCCACGTGTGCGATTCGAATTAACTTTTATTAAAACTCTTTATATTTCTTAGCTTCGAATTATGTCAAACTATGTTACTACAAACAATTATTATCTTTGATGGATGAATGTACGAAAGTTTCCATAAAGAATATACCAGCGAACTTTTCAGTCGGTTTATATCATGAAACTTGTTATACAAACGAAATTGTCCGGCTCTGATAATTAGTAATGAAATACAAAATTCCGTGCGATATGCATAAATGAGGTATAGATAATCCAGCTAGCATAATGCTATATATCGTGTCATTCACGTGCGTCATATTTATTCTCGTATACATTGCTGTATGTGGGGTTAATCTTACGTTACATACAGTATACTGTTCATAAACAGAATGAATCCAGCATTTTTCAGGGTCGCCTGAATGGTATAGAACCTGTAACTTTTCTAAGCGTTCTAACTAAATACATACTTTTTTTCTTTCTATTCGTTGCAAGTGTAAATCCATAATAGTTTCCTTGTATGTTAATATATTGGTTACCAACAAAGTTACAGTAGTAGACTAAAAAAAATTTAATTAGAGACATTATGAGTGTATTTATATTCTTCACTATATTAGCGACAATAACATATTCTGAATGTATATTTTACATACAGACACCCGTCTATAAATTAGCAAACAATTAATAAATGTAAAATGTGATTAAGATTTACACAGAAAAATTCTGAATGAAACCTGCGCAATTTCTTTCACTTTTTATTGTTGTCTTCGATACAATTTTACGCTTAATAAGAGATTATCCCGTACATTAATCAAATATTATCAGATCAATAGTCCCGTTGATCTGATAATATTTATCGCTATGTCTATCTATATCTTCTATATGTTTAAAGCACTATTGGAGAATTCTGTGGAATCAATGTGTAATATTTGCATTAGTCACTTCAGAAATACTCGACAAATACTCGAAGGACACAAATTTTAGTCAATTTAGAAGCGGAAAGAACGCAAACAATTGTGCAATATCGATTATTACGACGATTGCAAAGTTCTAGGTTCATGAATCCCTGTGGTGTGTAGGCTGTTCATGAAGCATATCGGCTGGTGCAACAAGTTATGCAGTAAACTCAGTAAATGCACGCAAGTATCCACCTTATGCGCAAGGACAAGCCGCGCCTCGTAATACAGAGAGAAAGAGAGAGAGTCTCATATAAATTCTTCCTCCACCTTCGTGAAAGTGCAAGCTGATTGATTAGATTACGCGATGAAGATTAGATGCTTTTTAGATGCTTTTCGTAACAAATAAACGAAAATTAAAAAGACAGACACATTTTTATAAAATAGAATTATTATGCATTTGATAAGAACAACGAATAAAGGTAAAATATAATTCAGAATAAATTACTGTTACTAATGTGATAAAAAATATAACATTTAATAGATTATTAACGTTCATAATGTTCATATTGTGTCTCTTTTATCTGTCACTTTGTATTGAACATTTAATCGATGACCACTCGTATCTTTCTTTCCTTATCAATTTTAGAATCTTGAACGATATCTGCATGTATTATGCTTCTTGCAATCGTGTTGTATGACCCAGTCTCTCAGGAACACAATTCTTACGTTACACCGCGTAGGTGGATGGTTGAGTAAATGATCTATTTGAAAAGCAATAAGCAAGTTGGATTATTAGTCATCTGTAGCTTTTGTCTTTTCTCTGTAGAATGACGTAAACGAATAAAGATGCGATTTACATAGGACGATGAAATATTTATGCGTGCAACATGAGAATTAAAAGAAAACGGTAGGAAATGATTAATTTATACGTTACAAAGAATATTTAGTATTTGATGACATACAATTACGTTCATTCTTATTAATAATACAGTAGAATCTCCCATATCTGAATACTCTAGTATCCAAATAGTCTATTAGGTATCTAATTTAGTGGTAATAAATGTTTCTTTTTGTACTGATTTTATATTATTCCATTTATCTAAAATTCCATGGGAGATTCTATTGTAATTGTATTGAAATAATATAGTAGAACGTCATACATTCACATAGTGCTTGCTTCGGAGCTACATACAATAAATCCGTAACCACTTAACGTTGCTAATTACTCAGCTATTTTTATAATCAATGTCTATTTCATTATGATTGAAGCAGCGTGATAGCGTAAGTTGGCTCACTGGAATTGCGCAATCATTTAGTATATCATAATATTGCATAAATTGATTTATAGATAAACAGAAGGCCTGAACTGCACGCGATTGCCTTTTAAGCACAGAGAAGAAAAATTACAACACTCTCGCGAACTAGCGTAAATCCTCGTAGTTTTGAAACTATTTGTCAATTTGAACGAGTGGAACGTATCAATTTTTGCGAATCGATCGTATGAGTCATGGTTTCCGGTGTTATTGTTATTGGAAACAAAATGCAAAATTAATAGTTTCTTAGAATTTATGAGTTCGAATGACGAATGAAATCGAGTTAGTCGATAAAACGGATCAGTTGTGTGTTGTTGATTGTAAAAGTATTATTTCTGGAAACTTCAGATAAAGCGATGAACATCTTGGAGTCATCACTGTTTTAAGGAGTATACTTACGTCATTTTCCCGACATATATATGTGTCTGTACTGAAGTCTATTGCGATAGTTTCGTAAATGACGAGTTATTAAATGTTGTGTTATTAATGATATTGATGAATTTTACGAGTTTACAGTGTTAAGTCAAATAAGATAATTTATAAAGTTTATCTTTCAAATTTCTTTCATTTAATTTCTCGCTGTTATGCGAGAGAATTTATTAATATTAAAAACTTGTAGAATCTTTACTAA